GGAGAAATTCTGTCTTGGTCACTCATGGGAGTTAAAAGGTTAATCTACACTAGGCATGCGCATATGCACTTCACTAGTAAAGTGATCTGCATGTAAAGAATTATTTTACGTCTATTTTCGTTAATTTGATAAAAAAAAACACAACAACAAAAAACAACAATAACAAAAACAACAACAACAACAACAACAACAACAACAACAACAAAAAACCAAAAACTTAGTTATGAGGGTTGGCAACTTTGGAAAATCGCATCGGCCTTATGGTAAGTGCTCTTGCCGGATTCGAACCTTTGCATGCTGTTCTGATCTGTTCTTCGGCAAGTCAATTCCTATTAGTGCCTTTCGCCACCCAAGGGTCGAAGTGGGTGTTGACCAACCTCCGAGGTAACCGGGAGGAAATTCCAGAAGGGGAGTTGGGGGTGGGGGTTAAGCTCTGGTGGTCTACCATCTCATTTTGCTAAGAAGCAATATGCTTCGTGGCATGGAAACCTGGAAAAGCTCCAGCCGCTGTGCGAATATAGGTACACATGGAGACTTCCCCTTTTTTTATTATCATTGATTTTTATTAACTTCAGAATTAAGATCTTTTTGATGACTATCAGTTGCATATTATTGTCATGTTTGTTTTCTTTTTTTCGTGTTATAGCCGCGGTGAAGTGTGTATGATGGCACCTCTTCATTTGCATGAAGGAATGAAAGAGCATCCTCTTTATGAACAGTCGTTATTAGCTTTGGCCACTCTTACTAAGGTACAGTAAGACAAGTTCTACTGTAGCAGTATCCCATGTTCCATATCGTGATTTTGACTTCTGCTTATATGAAGTACTTTGCACTAATGAATAAAGGGGATAAATTTCTAAAGAAACTGTGTTGCTGCGTTGGTGGGAAAGTATAACAGGATCATTTAGTATTATCGACTGAGTTGACAACGTAAATTGGCCTTCCTAAGGAGTTTTAAAGCTATTACTAACACTTGGTGCTAGGACTGTGCTCCAGTCGCTGAAGAGCAATTTATAACATTAAGAATACAAGTTTGATTGTGCATTCGATGGTCAATAAGCCAAAATGTAACAATGCCTTCATTCTTCACGAACTTAAGGCATATATATATTAACGGTGTTCCATATGTATCAAAGAGCTCATATTCTACTACTTTTGTTGCGTTTGTTTACAGGTTCTGGTATTAACACTGAAGCCTGAGCTCGAGGTCCTCTTTACTCACACTCTAAAGGTACAAATGTTGGAAGTAACTTTAAAAGTTGTAAATCTGTAAATGAAATCTAAAAGGTGGTAAATTTTTAACTCCCATGTGCAATACAGAAAGCTTTTATTAGCATAATCAAGCACCTGAGACAAAGAAAAGTTTCCTACGAGTAATCGGAGCTCAGACCTTTGAATCTCGTGGTCTGAGACGGTGGGGAAGGTAGGGAGGAGGGAGGGGGGGAGGGGCGAGGCCATCACTTGATCAAGTGCGATTGGAGTTTGTTTTTTCTTTTCGTCGTCCCTCACCTATGATAAAACGAAGTACAACCATGACTAGCGTGAAAGTGCCTGAGTTCTTAATGTTAATGGCGGTAAAAACTATCCCCATTCTCCTCTGCGCCGACCGAAGTGGCAATATCTTTCTTATCTCTTCACCGAGCGGATTTTGCTTGTCATTCTTATCCTGATTTCAAATCTCGCGCTGAGATATTCAACTTAGGATTTTAGTGTTTCAAGCCTTTTTTTTTTTGCAACCAAAGAGCATTACCCCTTCGAAAGATAGATACGACCGAAAATGGTACGCTCTTTTATCCACAGTAGTCTGATTGTCAAACTCCAACCAAACCCACCGTTTGATTTGACTTTTTTTCGTAGAAATATTTTAAGGTAAATTTTGACAAGTTCGTGTCAATTCCCCCTCTTATCTCTCTCAATGAGCGTACATTATACTCAAGCTGAAAGCCCCACTGAATTTTAACATTTGCTTTTCTTTTCCAACTGTTTATAATTATGTCTTTCCTTAGGGCCCTGCTGATTCTTTGCCGCTGTTGGCCTGGCAGTTTGCCATAATTCAAGTGGAGTCCAGAAAAGTCATTGATCCGGTGGGTAGCTAAATTTCTGTCAAGAGGTCAATATATTGACTGAGAAAATAGTTCAAACAAAGTAAACATAAAGCAATAAGGAAATAAAGTTGCGTTATCTATTCCAATTTTTCAGGAAGTCATTTTTTTTAAAGTTTCGTCAGAATGTTTTGTGTCGTTCAGTGCGACGTGTAAAAGTACCTTTCAACTTGTTAAAGACCACAATGATGAACTTGAGAATTTAACTGTACACTAAATTTCCTTTCACCTGCGGATGAATATCAGGCAAAGAAATGATCCTGGCAGGTGGACTGCAATTTTGCAGGGCAAATGCAGGAAGCAAGGCTGAAAAAATTCGGGTTTCGCAGTTCACCTGCGTGGATCATTTCTTTGCTTAAGTATGCTTAAGTGTTTCAAGGTAACCAATAGTTGACTGTGTTCCTCGCAACAAAGTAATCGTTGGAACAGAACTGACCCCATTAACGCTTGAAGTTGCCAAAGTGCTGGTACACCTCGGGCAGCAACGATTGTGTTGTGGTTGGAGTGCGTGTCGGTCGAATTTCGACCCTTTCCGTCTACTAATCCTCCAAATGCCGATTGTTCACTAAGTATGTGGACGAGCTACGATCGACGGCGTACTTTTGGCCGATTCTGTCTGATAATTGCCTAAGGGCCGTTTTACAACTAATTATGTTGGACGACTGTCTACCGATAGTGGGCCGAAGATCTGGTCGACGCATTCGATGGATTGGCCCACTCAATACCACACGGAAATATCTCTTAGTTGAAAGTTGACTGAAGAGTTCAAGGTCAGACGCGCAAAGTCGCTTAGGTGGAGAAGGGCATTTAAATGTGGCGTTTCCGCTGTGATTTGGAATACGGAACACGATGTGTCAAACAACTGCGAATTTCCCTATTGCAATTATCTTGTTCAATAATTTTAGATGAGACTGCTTCAGGGTTGTTTTATGACAATGAGGTATTTATTGTTTTATATTCTTAGAAAGTAATCATTATTGACATGTTCAATTTCCCGTAGGTTCTTGCATTTGGGAGGGGAACTGAAATTTTCTTTTATCAGGTAAACGTTTCTTTGCATGTTTCAACCATCATCGTGACAAGCTAGTGGCTACTGTTCAAAATTATTTTGATAAAACATTTTGGTCAGGATGAAAGCAATTGTTAGTTATGCTCTAAGGAACCTGTTTAACTTTTGATTGGAAAAGATGGGAAATTTTGAGTACGATCGTTGGGTAACGAAGTATGCATTTAATTTGTCATCAGAGTTGCACATCGCTGATCTCATCAGTAAGCAGGAAGCTTGTTACATCTGATCTTAGTATATGGCCTCGCTTACTAAAGAGTTTTCTGTAGTTTGGTGTAGAGCATCGAGCCGCGAAAATTTGAATATCTGAGTTTTAATCCTCGTTGGAGATTCTGTGGTTTCGTAGCTCAGTTGGTAATAGCAAAGACACGGGTTTGAATCCCGTCGAGGCCTGAATTTTTTAAGCTTCTTTCTTCGGAACTGCAGCTCATTTGCGAGGATCATTATCTATTTGTACTCAGATTTTCTTCTCTTGTCTTGCTCTCACAATCACTGAAATCGTATCTTTCTCTGTTTAAACTTCAGTTTTCCTGTTTACTTCACAGGCCCATTCTCAAGGGGAAAAGCAAGTCAGATTTATGTTCCTACAAAGATTTGAGAGTTCGTATAAGCTCACTGCTCTTCATGTAAGTATGAGGTGTGGGCTTAGTTTGGGCAAATGCATTCATCATTTAAGGACTCTACACCGTTTTTTTAATGCCTGAAAGTAAGAAAAACTTTAAATTCCCTAGGGAAAAAAAATTAATTGTGAGTAACTTGTCCAGTTATAAATCTAATTGGATTTCGGCGAATCTTGCTCGAGTGCGGTCCATCTACGCGGTTCATACCAAAGTGAATATGGAACTTCCGAATGTTCTTTTCCCTCGGTTCCCAAAGCAATATCTATGTAGTTTGACGGGGTAGTTTAGTTTTATCAGCTGAGTTGATAACGTAAATTGGCCACCGTAAAGAGTTACGGAGCTGACGTTTCGAGCATTAGCCCCGTCAAAACTTTAGCAGGTCCTCCTTCAGGAGGCACCTGAAAATGGAACTCCTCAGCATTTTCGTTATTTATTTTTTTTTATCGGCGCCCGTTAGGTATGAATACATTGTAATATTCTGCTGTTCGTTTACTCCTAGTGGCTGAACCCACAAGTAATCGCTACAGTAGACGCGCTGGAGAGAGTCCATGTCATTGATGTGCGAAGTATGGAAGAACTTGAGGTGAAGATGAACGTGTGATGAACGGTTTCAGTCGCAGGAAAATCTGATTGGTTGTGGTTTTCATTTCTAGATCAAAAGCACATGCCAAATCAAACGGAAGCCATTTTTCTTGATATTTGGTTCAATTTCTTGCAGGTTCTTGACCTTAGCTCAGTACAGCTTGTGTACAGCAGCAGTTATTTCAAGTCACTCTCTACTGGAGGAAACGTCAGCAAGGCTTTGGTGAGGAATCTGTTTTTCGTTATTAGAGCTGTTTCCAACCCGAAACCTTACTAGCTACAATGGTAAATCAAAACAAATTTTTCATATCATTATTAGCCGATGAGAACTGAAAGGCACACTGCCAAAAGCGCGGGAAGACGTGGGTTACCAAGGTACGGGTGGTATTCGTACTGTTCTGGTTGATTGAGAGGACGGCGCAGGTTTTTGTCTCGCCAATCAAAGAATGAAGTGAAGCAAAAACAAAGCACTGGATTGTTAATTAATGCTCCCCTTCTTCTTGCCGTAGATCAACCAACTGAGAATTCTCGAACTTCCCTCGCTACCATGCTTCTTTAACCCTTCATCTCCCAAGATCTGATTCCTTATTCTCCCCTTCAGCTTCTACTCATTCCCTTGTAAATTGGTTATGAGAATTTGGTGTTATATCAAGATAACAACTTGTACCCTTCTAAGTTTGAGTATTCTCATTACCTGTTTGCTCGATAACGTATGGAAATTATTGGGCGAAGTTACTTGTTAATCACTTCAGAGAGTTAAAGGGTTAAAGAAAACAAAGTGTGAACAAAGAAGAATTAAGGTTTACCTATGGCCCAAAAGCATTACTGCAGAACCCAGAAGAGACAAATTTCCCGTGTAGGTCTTATTTCAAATGCCGTCCCTCTCAATTAAATTTGGTATTCGCGAGGTTGTTTCATGAACCAAGCTCTCTGCGTGAATGTTGTGTCAAGAAAGACCAAGAATTCCACACAGAACTGGCTATTTCGATATTCTCATGCGAATCAACCTCGCTCCGTTACTTGATCACGTTATGCATCAGGTTCTCATCATGCATCACGTCCACACAGGCATCACGTTCTCATCACGCATTACGCTCCAATCATGCATCGCGCTTTTTCTGTTGGTGAGGAAGAAGGTTGGAATAAACGCCACATTGGGAGTGTAGTCTGATGGTTTAATTTTTTTCTTGATTTAATCAACTGTTTTTTTTTTCATTCTTAGGTAGCCGCCAGTGAACATTCATGTTATCAGACAGTAGTGGTATTTAATGGACAACAATTACTCCTGGGTGTCAAGGTAGATCAATTTTCTGAACTATTGAATATAAAGAAGAAGGGTATACCATGAAATGCCAAGGTATATTTTCAAGATTTCGCGGCACAACTAGTTACATAGTAGGGTGAAAACTTACTGGCTCCTAAATACATCGAAAGAAGCAAGCTGCACACAGGCTGTGACTATGAAATTCAAAGAACTCAAATGAACGTTTGGTAAATTTCTAAGGAACTGTTTTATGATACAATGGATTTTTTTTGTGTAAAATATACCCTGAAACCACCAAACACCAAAATGATAAGGAGACAGAACGAGGATATGTAATGATGAAGGATTGCAAGAGAGCGTTAGAAACATTTGGACTCACAATACTTTATACTCCGAATAAGAATGATTAATGGTAAAGTTTAATCGATTGCAAAATTCTTCAAGATAACATGATGACAGTGTTATGGTTTATGTATTCATTTTTTTGTTTGTTTACTTTTTACCTTTAGTCCGTCCATGTATTGACACTAAGGAACTGGCGCGATGTAAGTTCAGACTTCATAGTTGTTGTTTTTAAGATATCTACTTGAACAACAGAATCGGCTGAAAATAGGCAAAGGCTAAGGTCATGATTTCTTCCTTATTATATTCCACAAAATTCTTTCGCAATGAGTAACTTTTGATTGCAAAGCTGAAGGGGGCGGAGGAGGGGGGGGGCACTTTGATTTCCAAGGCGTCCACTCAGGGTGCGTACCATAGAGAGTAGCGAAATAGTGAGGTGCATGGAGAATACTTAATTTGATTTATTGCTGTTTGTTTTTTGTTTGTATTTTAGAGGATTGAAGTTTTCGTGAAGCAAAATAACTTCCTGGACGCTCTAGAACTGGCACTGTCTTTTTATGATGGCACTGCCATGGCTGTGATCGGTAGGTAAACACCTCTGATGGCGATCACAGTATTTCCTCAGGACCTTCGTTCTTATCATTTATCACACTGAAAGAAAAGATCTATCTGCCCAAGGCAGACACGCTCGTTATTTGATGTGGGTATTGATCTCCAGCTTTTGTTGTAATTTGCAACGGCTGTCACGGCATGATCCAAGTAATCGCGGAAAAAGTTTGGTACAAACTCAAATTTCTAACTTTTGATCTCCCAAAACCGCCCCTCTTTCTTGTTCAATATAAACTGATTATTGATATTCTTTTCCAGGTTTAATTGGAAATAAAGAGCAGAGATCAACAGAAATTGCTGCACAGGTAAACTTTTAATTAGCGGTTATAAATTGCGTTGATTCCTTGAATAAAGACTAATACTTAGCATAGAAAACTACTCAGATGTCACAGCAAAACAAATTTGGATCAAACTTTCTTATCGGAAAGACGACATCTCTTCTCGATGCGGATCCTCAAAAAGAAACCAATAAATGAATAAAGAACAACTTTGAGGAACCCCGCACACATTCGCGGACAAAAGAAAGAAGAAAAAAGAGAAATGATAATCCAAAAGTGTTTAATGAATACTTGAGTTGTTCATATTTGGTAACTCGAACAATTTAGTGTCATCTACTCGATAGAAGATTAGGGGTCGCAGACTGAGTCTCCATTGTGGTGGTAGAAAATTCCCCCCAACTTACTGCCTGGCTTGGCTAACATTTGACGAATTGTATTATTTTTTCTTTATCCCAGATAGAGGAACTATTACTAGCTTATGTTGATATAACAGTGTTCGTAAATTGCCCAAAGACCAGAGACACTAAGGAGCTGAGAGATTACTTCAAGGTGAGTTTTTGGTTCAAATGCTAAGAACTACAATATTATTCTTCCCCAATAAAGTAATGCGATAGCAGATTGCGTAAATCATTGAAAAAATAAGGTGGAATAACGTTTAAAATGACGTATGGATGTTAAATAAAGTGATCGTTGATTAAAAAATTGATTCGATGAAACTACAGAATATGAAATAAAAGTGAGTTGAAAAAGAATGAAAAGGGAATGAAGGTTTCATCTTTGAGAAACTTTTAATGAAAGAACGCCTTAAAACGCCGGGTGAGTCTATCAGGACGAAACTCCTTCTTTCGGAAATTCTTAATAAGGTTAATAATTTCTGATTAATTATTGTACTGTATTTTTTTTAATATAATACTCCCTTATTGCTTTTGTAGGAAATGGTACCAATCTTTATCAAGTATAGCCTGGCCATCAAAAACATGTGAGTTTTATACAAAATTTTAAGGAATGGTCTTCTTCTTTGTCATCGTTTTTATTCCTTGAATGTGTTTGACTTACGGAAAAAGCTTTAAATCCTGATAAGAGCGATTATACTAACTTCATTTTCACTAGTGAAACACAATCTCGGCAAAAACAAACAAACAAACAAAACAGAAACAAAACCGATCAAATATTCAACAAATGAATTCCATGTGGCCTTGTGGCCATGTGTCTGTAAAAGATCTCAGATCACGTCAAGCTGTGGAAAGTGGTACACGACGTGCAGCTGAGTGTGTCACTGATGCTCTTACCACATTCAAAGTCTTCTGAAATCCATTGGCGAACAAACGCACGACAACCACGAATCGACTTGATTTAACCCTCTACACCCTTACATCAGAATCCACCTTCTCCATACTCTTCTCTTTATGTTTCCTTTAGTACTGACAAGGAGAATTTGTTGAACAATCAAAGTTTCTTTGGGGTGGCGATCATTTCCTTTATTCTCATGATCTTAGTGAATGATTCAGTCATATTGCTGTGAGGAGAAATTAGATGTTGGTCACTCTCAGGGTTTAATAGGGGTTTAGTAATAGAGAAGTAAAAACTTGGTGATGATTACGTTATAAATGCATCTGTTCTCCAAAAGATAGTTAGTGAGAGCCAATCAAAAGACTTGTGTTTTTCAGCTCATTATTTAAAATGGAACTGAACGTGAATAAACCATTCTCATTCCATTTGTTATTGCGACGAATGGGCTCGAGCACATTCATTGATCACTGAACAGCATGGAATGTGAAACTGAGCCAATTTTTGTCAATTTTTATTCTCAAAGGGATCTCTTATTCAGAGAGATTTATGACAAGTTCTGTGAAGATCCTGTTGGAAAAATCGTGTTTCTGGAAAGCTTGGAACCTCATATCTTAGCAGACAAGTAAGTTTACTCAGAAGAAATAAATTTTTACGAGTTGAAAGAGGTGTAACTGGACGAACCTCTGCGGGACTGCATTGTTCTAAGGGCTAATCTTATAACGTTGTTCACTCAAACCTCACCAAACACAGTAATTTTAAGTTGAGGGTCGAAAGAACTTGGAACAGCATTTAAGCAATCAGACGATCTGGCCACACTAGTTTTCCCGCGCTGGAAGTCGTACTTCAATTTGCTTCAAGTCCATTTTCTTTTTCTTTTTTCTTTTCTTGTTCTTTCTCTTTTTATATATTTAATAAGTCCCTTTCTTCCCATTACCCATGTTAATGGCTGGCGTCTTATTATTATTATTTTTTAATTCAATTCAATCTGAGAGCGCTTTTATTTTACATTATAAAATAACCTCGGAATGTCCCTGTTTTTTTTTCCTCTCTTTTTTTTCAGACTAACGTCTTTGAGTCCGATTGTGATGAAGGAGTTTATAGGTAATGTGTAGCTATGTATGTTTTAGGAGGTTTCTAGGCTGGAGTAAAATCTTGAGTAAACAGAGCTTGGGGTGAATTTTCAAGCTTAACTTCTATTTACAATTCATCTCTGGCAGATTCCATACCATGACTTCGTAAATTATAAACGACCTATTAGAAATCACGAATTGGTCTGTCAGCCTTCGAGGTAGTGAAGAAGGGGTCGATGGATATATAATACATTTCTCGATCTGCTGGTTTACTCCGGGACCAATTATTTTAGCATAAAAGTAGCATAGAAATCATGTTCATGAGAATTCCGAGACCTCTGTCCCATGAATAACTTTTTTCCTCAATTTTTTTTAGAGCACTATAACCAGCAAAACAAGCTCAAAGATGTAGAATCATGTCTCATGCACCTAGATGTGACAAATCTGGATATACATCAAGTACGTACACATGACAAGTCTACAGCGAATCGCATCCAAATCGAATCCAGTCCCTTGTTTTCAAGCGAAGTGACTTTTGCTAAGACCTCTCCTCTTTCCTCAGATGGTGAAACTCTGCTGGGCTCACGGCCTGTACGATGCCATTTTCTATGTGTACAACAGAGGCATGCGAGACTACACTACTCCACTGGAGGTATTCTTGGAATTGTAGGACGTTCATTATTTATCGCCTGGGGGGTGGGGTTCGGAGGATTTTGGTTATGTCACAATAAAAGTCACTTGATCCTCCTTAAGGCTCTGTGGTATTTGAATGATCCTCCTCAGTGGCAGTCAATTTTCCATAGTCCCCTGTTTAAACTCTGAAACGACTGATTTCCCCCCACCCCCGTTCCTTTTGAAAACCAAGTGATCTCCTTTCCCCCCGTCCCCCTCCCGAAAAAAAAAATTAAAAATCTTCAGATTAATTAAATTATGTCTGGTCCCTTGGGATATTTGGCCTTCCGTAAACCGTGTAAAGTTTCAATAGTTTTTACCTCTGTTGTAGTTGTTTTTCATGTTTACGCTGTTAAATGCCCAGCCTGTTCTGATGTGAGCGGTAGAACAAGAAAACTGCTTCAACTCCTAAACCTTTGAGAGTGATTAGCATCTGATTTCTCCCTACATTATCATCCCTAAATCAAACACTAAGATTATGAGAGTAAAGCAAATGATCTATCACCAAATAAGCTCTTGATTGATAGACAACTTCTTTTTGTCGTTGCAATAGCAAATGTATAAATAACAGTACACAGGATATTCGTACTGACACTAGGGTGTGTAGGGTGGGTAGGGTGGGTAGGATGGATAGTCTGGAAGTGAAACGTTGAAAATATTGCCCTCCCCCACTTTTCTGTCCTCTTGTTCATTGTTTTAAATGTTCCACAGGAGCTGATTAATGTCTTAAAGGGCACAGTGCAGGCCAGAACTCCATTTGAAGGTAAGGTGTCTATCGTCAATGTAAAGAGTGACAAAAAAGTGCTGTGACTGAGGGGATAAATGGATCTGTTCTGTGATTGAGTTCAGTGATTCTTTTAATCCTTTGACACCTAAGAGCTTCTAATTTCTTTACAATATGACCAGTGAATCACACGTGAAGGTTACGTTAATAAAGGAAATGATCACCAACGGAAGAAGCTCTCGATTGTTACAGAAATTCTCTTTGTCAGTACTTTGGGAAATGTCTAGAGAACAGTACGGAGTATATGCATACTAATGCAGGGCGTGAAATTGCGACTAATACAGGCGCCAATGCGACTAAATTTTTCACTTTGGCGACCAAATCCTGAAAAGTAGTCGTCAAATTGGTGACTAGAATGCTTCATCATAACCATACCTAGAGATACGGTGAATTAAAAAGATTTACAAAGATAAATCCGCGGCAAACGTCCTCGTTAAGTTTGTTTCCAAAACTCAGCGCATGCATCTCGATCGATAACTAGACGCCATCTTGGATTTAGGTGAGCTTGAACGTTGTATATCTTCCATCCTAGTGTCCACTTTGTAGAACTTTGTAGAACTTTGTAGAACTTAATTTTGGAGGGTCTATCTAGAACGCTGAAAGCGTAAAAAAAGTTTTTTGGTCTTTAAAAATGGCGACCAACTTTTTTTGAATTAGCTACCACTTTGAAAAATTTAGGAGCCAAGCGGCTATCAGCAAAAAAAAAATTAATTTCACGTCCTGTAATGTTAGGTTGTAGAGGGTTAAGATGTTAACAGCCCTTACTTCTGATACTGATCTTTTTGCCAAAATAAATATGGTATGAATTACGTTTGAACCGAGCTGTGCTGGTGGTGTTTGATTTGTGTTTGCCATTTCTTTAGTTATTGATTACAAAGCGAAACTATAATGGAGTAAAAAGTATGAAGAACTTTAAAAAAATCGTTGCTTTGAAGTTTCGGATCAATATCAGTATCTGGACAACTGCCCACCTACCCCTCCCCTAACCCAACATTAACCTTAACTTGTTGTCAATTGACTGTTGTTGAGTTAGGGGAGGGGTAGATGGGCAGTTACCCAGATACTGATATTGATCCGAAGTTTCTTGCAAGAAATAGTTGAGTGGTTAGTGCTTTTAGCTCATCTACTGACAGGTTTAATGTTCTTTCCGTTTTAAGATTCAGATCTTTCTTTGGGGAACAAATTACTTGTATACATCAGCTGCTGCCTGGCTGGACAGGCATTCCCAGTGGGTTCCATCCCTGAGGACTATGCATTAGACGTAAAAAAAGAGGTAAAAGTGGATTTTATTTCTTTTCCTTTTTTATTAGGTTCTTTTTCGCAACTCTCGTTAAGTAGCTTTAAAATAAAATTCCTCGGTGAGTAAGCTACACTTATCTCCCTTCGTAGTTCAACGTTTCAAGCGTAAAACCAAAAATAAAAGAGAGAAAAGTGGTCAGTAATGTATTACAATTTTTCGCTTCTGTTGAAGTTAGATGGCGACTTGTTTGTACATGTTTCAAGAGTTCCTTATTTCTTGGGCTAGCCCAGGAAGGAGCCTAGATTATACGCAGACCTTTCGTCAGCTCAAGGCCTCAAACTTTCTCGCGGGCGAAGGAACGCTCGCTTCGCAAGGCCAATGATGACGAGCTGCTCGTAGTCTTGTCTGTCTGTCAGTTTCTGATTATGTATTTTAGCCTTTTGACTCCCAAGATCTCATTAGTAATTCTCCCTTCTGTCTGCCATAAAATGCTAATGATTTCAGAGAATTTAGTATTGGATCAACTTGTAGCCCTTAATTGAGTTTTCTTCTTTATTCTCTTCACTAGTCTGCTTTATTCCGTGTTGATATTGTTAGGAGAAATTCTGTCTTGGTCACTCATGGGAGTTAAAGGGTTAGTTTTGTTCTTGCCTTCCAGGTGTTCAACTGCATCACGACCCAAAATACTAAAGACGGTTTTGAAAGTAAGTTAAACTATCCAGTGTTGCTCTGTTCATCACATCGCGTCACTTTGTTAAAATTTTGATTATTGCTTTGCCCGTAGGTGAACCTTCATATCCACGTTTGCGAGTTTTGTTACATTTTGATACCCAAGAGTTCTTGAATGTTCTTTCCATGGTAAGTCAGTTCATTAGCGACTTCGTCTCTTACAAAGCATCCTACTGCATTGCTCAGTTCTTGAGTATTCTTTCCATGGTAAGTCAGTTCATTAGCGGCTTCGTCTCTTACAAAGCATCCTACTGCATTGCTCAGTAAAAATTAAAACAATACACTGCAATATTTATAGTCACTCTTAAAGACCAGTAACCTCCCCTAAAGACAAACTTGTACTCTTTGACCTCAAAGAGTAACTAGCATCTAATTCCTCCTTACAATATCACCTCTCCCCCCCCCCCCCCCCCCCCCCCCCCCCCCCCCAATCATACTTTAAGGTCACAAGAGTAAAAAGGCGACCGAGTAAAGACGCTCTTGATCTTTAAACGAATTCTCCTAGTCTGCACCTTAGAAAATGTATAGAAAACAATATGGAGAATATGCAAACTGATGTTAGGGTGTAAAGGGTTATAGGTACCAGTACACTAGTAAATGATTTTTTTTCGACTTATCATGTACTGAATTCGATTGCAGGCGTTTGAACGGAAAGATTTTGACGACAATTTTGAGTAAGTCAGAGATGTTAAAATTTACTTCTGATATTTATAAGTACTTTAAGTTAACAGAAGTGTGGTTGGTCTAGTCTTCATTAACCAATCTGCTTCGCAGTCATGTTTTCAGTTGTCACGCACAGCCTCCTTTTGGTATGTCACGCAACGCTGTAGAAGGGACAATGAGGATATTACATGAGTGTGCGTGGATACGAATTTTACCATTGAATATTGATGGCGGTTTCTTGATTCCTCTTTATAGCGGTCCATCTGGTGTCACGCGAAGACAATACCTTGTGAATATCCTTCTTGACGTAATGGTGCAAGACACTGGCTTTACGGTAAAGTTTACGAAGAACTTCATGAACTTACGTTTCGTTTAAACAAATTTGCCATTTTGTTTTCTAATAAAGCTTTTTTTGCACAGAAATTTTGTCTTCTTCTTTGTCTCACAATATTGTTTGTTGCACACACAGCCAAGCCAAGTTGGATCGCTGTTTACGTTTCTAGCGCGGCAAATGGCAAAGCACGAGAACAGAATACAGGTCAACAAGGTGCTATTTGAACAGGTTGGACTGTCTTTCGTTTACAAAAGTGTTTTCATCGTCTAAAGACTCACCTATTGTCATTGCATTTGTACGAGACGTGTCAAAATAGTGGTTAGCGCAAGGGACTCTTGATCGACAGCTGCGGGTTGGGCCGTGGCCGAGTCATCCTGTTGTACTCTTAGAAAAAGCCTTTACTCTCGCCATGCCCCTCACGGCCCTGGAGCATAAATGGGTACAGGCCAACTGTCAGAGAAACCTGACGAAAGAAGCCTCCGGCTAGAGTTTATTTCAGTTTCTGTAGCACGAGGCATCTAGAAGTACTGCTACTTCCCCCTGGATGGGATGCTAATCCGTCGTAGGTCATCTGCAGCCCCAGGAATTTCGTCAGGGTTCCTCGACATTCGCCAGCACTCATATATTTTCCTCCCTGCAGAGAGCACTGCGAGAGGAAAGAGTCTTGCTAGAGAACACAACACAATGAAAAGCTGAAGAAATGCGGAAGGGTAACCTTCGCATTTATTGGCCTCCTGTTCAGGGGGGTGGTAGCAGTACACCTGGCTGCTGCATGCCACTGAAGCCGAGATAAGCTCCGAGACAAGTGTCGCCTGACGTGTAAACGAAACATTACGGCTTTTGCCTTATTAATTCATTTTAATTGACCTTATTGCTTTTTTAAGGTCTTAGAGTATCTTGCTAACCCCGACGATGACTCCAGACACGAGGAAAGACAACAGGTACTGTTTTAAAAACTATTTGTTATGTTAAGCGATATTCCAGAAAATATCACAGTGATAGCGGAGCTCGCAGAGCGTAGCCCCATAATTATACAAAATAGTAGTAACGCATCAAGCCGAAAAAATTTGGATTTACGACCGTACGACCTTACAAGGTGCTACTTTTAACATGCGTGGTCAACTGTACGGACGACCCGGGTTCTAGTCCTGGCCGGGGCAAGGCGTTGTGCCCTTCAGACGTGCGGAAAAAAAAATGCGAGCATTGCTTTTAGGCTTGGCTAAATATATATATTAGCACTTATGTATATGACAGCACAACTGATAGATTGCATCTGTACTTTCTAATTGGACGATAGTGATTTACGTTAATATGTTCTAAAACTACTGTTCAATCGCAGATTTTGTTTTTAAATTTAGAATTTTCAACACAAAGTTACGCAATTTTTCTTACGGAGAATTTTAGAAGCGACGATTTAGGCATTCCATAGTGAATCTACTACGTGGGTCTCAAACATTCAAGAAGTTCTTCCTTTTTTTGCTTCTAAACAGCAAACTTAGATTTTCAATGAATAAAGCTTTGGTCTCAAAATATTTCATGATTGTCTTAGCCTTGCCTTTTATTCATAGTAGTACGCGATTACCTGGTAAATACGACACGATTGTAATAAAACATTTTTTTCTTGCTTAAGTTCTCTGTGCTATGTTTTAGGACAATTGTGTATGCTTTTGACTGCGATTAATCATGAACCAATTGTTCTTTTTCGAGTGCAAACGACACGAGCTACATCGGATGTGACAACCGTATCGTGATACAAACAAGAATTCTTAATTTTTGCCCTTTTTTTCTTCTCTTTTTTTGAGGTCGTTGATTTTTTATTTAATTTTGGTATCTTTTAGGCCTTGTTAGAGCTTTGGAATGCTGGTGGCCTGAAACAATTTGATGACGCCCGCATACTGGTTCTTGCGGAAAATGCTAAGTTGTAAGTAATGTGTGAGGTTTTCGCCATAAACCGTGCATTGCCTCATCGTTGTTGTGGCTTATTTTTCCTCCAGCTATCGCGTTTGTGAAATGTTGTACGAGAGAAAACGGCAATTCTCCAAAGTGTTATCCTGTTACTTCAGGGATTCCTATCGAGAGGTAGATAAGAGGAATAATTATGTAGTAGATAAAGGGTAGATACGAGTAATAGTTATGCTTCCCATCAACTACGTTTCATATGTGATAGAAGTCCTAATCGAGCGGTGGACGGGGTGAAAATGCCTTCATCGATGGTGCTCGACTGATTTGAAAGAGATTTCCACAAGCGAAAGAGCATCTACGCCTAAGTTCAGATTTGTTAGATCTGGGCATGATCGGAGAAAGGAAAACTTAAAAGTAGGCGTGAAACATTGCTCAAAGAAAAGAGTTTTTCAGCGGTTTGGGTGACATCTGTCCGGCAATCATAAAATGCTTTATTGATTTAGAGATTTTCCAACATGTAATGACTCTCGTTAGAGTTTGCATTCTCTATCCACGTCCTATGCTCGTTTACAGTATGGTACTTTACAAAGATTGTCTTCGTGTCCTATCTACAGCACACGATCTGTTGTATGCGAACAAGTTTTACCAAGAGAATGGGAGACTCTTAAGCTGTTGGTTTTTTTTTTTTAAACAGCACCAGGTTTTCACTTACGTTCATTGTGTGATGTCAGAAGACGTGTATACTGATCTGGAGAGAGAGGAGCTGAAGGAAGCCACACTCAATAGTTTGCAGGTTAGTTTTGTCAAGGTCCAAAGTTCCTAGACAAAATGTCGTATGTTTGGATTATATATTTTCCCAAAGTTAACCAACATAGAGAAAGATGTTTTTTTTCGTCTTGTCACGAGCGTGGGACAAGGAAAAAATTCTGAGTCCCTATGAGGAATGGAACCTCAGACCTTCGGATTCCGCGCTCCGATGCCCTAACCACTGAGCCACAGGGACTCCACGGTGAGCGAGGTCTAATACGAAGTTCATATGACACGCGGCCTGCATACTGCTAGGATTAAAAAAACTCACCATCTCTCTCAAGGAGTAGGCAAATGAATATTATTTATCAGTTAAACTATGATTTCCTAAAAAATGTTTTACGTTTGTCATAATATTGGTACTTCTACTTTATCACATACTTAATTCTATATCTTGATTTATATTTATGTGCAAACAAGTTTTACTGTTAAGAAAACAGAACCATCACAAAATGCGTAGAAGCCCCTATCCTGTGTTGTTACACAGGATAGTTTTATCCACAACCCCACACTGATAACAGTTTAACACGTGAACGCAATATTTCGAGGTAACAATTTTTTGAATGGTCACACACTAGGATCCCTTTCAGAGGCTAAAAAGTTGTAGTTACTTGGTACACCATGATAAATAGTACCACCTGAAAATACTGCTTTGTAGTTACACTCCATTGGTTTGCGAAGGCCCAGGTTGTGGGGACCTGCTATGTACAGCGTAACAAGCATTACAGCCCTTTGATTGAAGCTGACCTCTTACGAGCAACCGAACACGTATTAGATGATATACAGCCCCTTGAAAACCGGTAACTTAGATTTGTCTCTAAAGGTTAGGAACGTTTTGTACTTAAACTTTCAGAGCTTTCTTTCAATCGACTGCGGAAAAACTGCTCAAATGATTCTCACTGAATTTCCGGATATCTTGACTTCCGTTATCCGTCAGCTAGAGGTGAGTGTGTTGTTGAATTTTCAGTTATGACTACAAGCGGCCCAAGCTCCAGCTGTGAGATAATCATCTCACAGCAGGAGCTTGGGCTGCCTGTGTGATGACAGACGAATTTGACGCTTTTAGATAATTAAAGGCCAATCGCCATATATGTGGCACGTACTGTGCCTATGATAGGATAAGGAAGAGAATACAAAAAAATATAACAGTTACATTATCGGTTTGATTTGAACTGTGCATGTATAATTACCTGGTAGAGATTGTTTATCTATTTATGAAGCCATTTTTTTTTTTATTTACATGTATTTTCATGTCTATTTTCCTTGAAGTAAAGTAGTTTGCAAAAGGATACGAAAAGCAGGAATATCTTTGGTTGGCGATTTGCTTAAGAATGTGCATGGTATTGCCATATGTCCAGAAATGCATGCTTTAATGAAAATGACGAAAATTCGTCAAAATCTTCAATGATCCTCCGAGCTGATTTCGCTTTGCCGGATTTGAATAAAATTTTTCAAAATCGTCATCTCCGCTATGCTAGTTTCGCATCGACGAATTTGACTAAAATCCGCCCGAATCGTAAAATCCATGAACATTCACTCGGTGAGACAAAATTTGGTCAAATCCGCCATTTTCGTCACTGCGTGTATTTCTGGGCAAAAACGTGCAAGTGCTCTCCTCCTTATACTTTCCTTCCTTTTCCTTCCCTTTTTTTTCGTTAAATATTCTTTTCTCCTTTCTTTCTTTCTTTCCTTAGGGACAATCGACAGTGCAGTATGAATTTCTAAAAGGCGTGTTTGAGAATAAGTGAGCAAAAAATATTCTTTAGGATAAATTATATGTTAGTGAATTCAAAGAAATTTCTGAGTTTCTCTCTTAACTGTGATGAAACGTTACGAGAATGGACTGGGCAGAGTATGAAATTGTTCTTAGTTTATTCAACTGACTTAGCGCTTAAAGTTACCGTATGCATCAGGTGACAGAATCTCCTTGAGTTATTTTTTTTTTCTATGTTGGTTTTTGTTTTGTTCTGCTTTCTTTCTTTTGTCGTTATTTGCTTGTTTATTTCCTGTTTTCCTTTGTTCTGTTTCTTTTTCTGTTTTTGTTATTTTGTGACATGGTATACAAAAAGGGAACACCCTTTTAAAGTTCTCAAAAGGAAATGCTTTAAACGAGTCCTTGAAGCTAAACGGTGTCCGTTGCTTGCTAAGAGATAGTTTTTTTTTAGCTTATCGTCACGGTGGGAATTTTCCCACCGCGATGATAAAGAAGCAGGTACCTTTTTTTTTTTTTTTATACAACGATTCAATATTCTGAAAATAGAGCAGACGTTCGGCAATCATGTTCTAAGTGGTCAATTATATGGAAAGTTCGGTGATTTTATTAGTTTGAGCACTGGAATGCGTGTCTTCTATATTCGAAAGAACTTTCATGGCACGAGTGGCGTGATTGATATGTTATTCTAGAATGGCCGAGAGACATTGCTGTTTTGCCATTTAGTCCTTTTTGTCTCGTCTCATCTTTATTTCAGATCCCAGACCCCTAGCCGCCCAGAGGACACACCTGACGCTGAAGTCCACGAAAAATACATCGAGCTGATGTGTAGATACCAGCCAGATCTGGTGCACAGTTATTTAAGAAATACTGAAAACTACAGACTTGAAGAAACTTTGGCGGTATGTATGGAGTAATCTTAAAATATGGCGATGGAATTATTAGAAATGACTAGAAATAAGACTTTTAAGTTTCGTTTGCACTAAAAATTTTGCATAATGAGAGATCACAATTCCTATAGTTTTTCCACTTTATCACGAAAAGAAATTGAATCAAAATACAGCCTTAAAGTTATTACATTTTGCTTTCAAGAGTGGGATTGTAATCGTGTTATTTAATGCCACTTGACCTGGCCTTTTGACGTGTAGTTTTGGATAATATGTTGTGATTTGTGGACTTGAAATTTCTACATTATGCCGTCATTTTGTAATCAACTCACGCGCTGTCTTCCCCAGAGCTATTGTTTTGTCAAACCGCTTTACTAAGGAAACGCAAAGTACCGAAAAAGCAATCAAAAATCTTAAACGAAGCATTGCATAACATTTATTTTCTCATGTTCCAACTGAACAGCATAGAATGGGTTTTAATGATGGTTAATATGATGAACACATTTTCTGATTGTCCCTCGTGCGTTTTGCTTTTTTGTTGTAGATTGTTCGCCAATTTAACAACACATATGCTACATCCTATCTACTGGAGAAGGCTGGCGATATTCATGGAGCTTTCCAGCTTCTTTTAGAGGTACGTATGCCTGTATTCTCCTTCGTTGTCAGAAGCAGTTCATGATCATTTTCTACTCTTTTTGCAGACTTTAAAGGTGAAAGTAAAAGTTCTTTGTGATGTTTTTGAGGAAAACGAATCACCATCTTTGAACGGTACAGTGATTTTTTTTGTAAGATGTTATGCCATCACGCGATAAAAATCTCTAGCCCATAATCTAATTTTTGATTAGTGAGCTGAAAAGGTTGACATTATTTCAGACGTTTTCGCTCCATCTGTTTAGCAGATTTCAACTATTTGATCCACGAAATTAACATACGCCACGCACATAACAGAATATGTAAGTTTATTTTAACACTGATTTGAAGGGTTCTCTTCCAGAAATCAGGAAGCTTACTACAAACATTGAGGCTGTTTTACTAGGAGTTTTAATTCCTCTGTGCCAAAGAAATTCTGGGAGACTTGAAGAAACGGACAGAGAGGTAAAGCACAATTTTGGTGACAAGATTCGTTGCTCCTAAGATACATCTTTCCAACCAGGAGTATTAAAGAATACTGAGCAAAGAAGACAATCTGACACTTTCTCGAGCCACGAGGAAGAAATTTGTAAAGCTGAAGCAGCGTTACCAGGACCGTAGCAAAATTAGTCGCCCTCCCGTTCCCTCATACTTTGCGTAGACCTTTCATTTCTGTCTGTTTCTGTCATCAACTTGTACCTAATCGTGATCAACGTTGCTACTTTGTTGCTACTTTGTTCTCGTACAACAACATCCACATTTATAAACTAAAATAATCCTCAGTGATGAAGCTCTGAGCTCAGGGGTTAAGGAGCCAATATTTTTTTTAAGTTCGTCATTTGTAGTCCGCTTTGATACTCTCCATTCTTAGCAATCTTCATTCCTCTTTGGTATGTTGTTCTCTTTTTCCTTTTCATCCACTGGAAGAAACACGAAGTTGAAAGTCTTTACTACTAAGAGCAAATTTCATCGTTTTAGAAAATGACCAACTTTAACGTTTGTGTCTTACCAGGCTTTATGGTTTCCTCTTCTCGAAACCGTCATGGCCCCTCAACGGAAATGTAAAGATACAACTAGTGCATATTTTTTAGGTAAGAACCTTACGTCATTGTTCTCACATTGTAGTCTCCTTTCTGAATTACTTTTTATGCAGTTTCGTAAGCTGATATGTAGATACGAATGATTTTTAACAATTGTGAGAAACTAGTTTAGAATTATCACTTGAAGTTACTAAAAGGAAGTTCAAAAAAGAGAGAGAGAGAGAGAAAAAGCGAGGAGGAACATTAAAGTTGAATCGAAGATAAAACTTAATCATGATTTATACATTTATTGTAGCTTTTAAAGATCAGACAAGACACGTTTTAAACAGCATGATGGGCTATATATCGTTACCGGCCATTTTACAGAAGATTATGCAGGTAAATTTCCATTGATTTAAAAAACAAATTTCCGGTTGAGTGGCGAGTTGAATCTAGGATTGGATTGGTGTTGGTTTATTTCGCCTTGTGATCGGTTCAGGAAACTCCCGCTAACCTCTCAGCCAGTCAGCTGCGACTTCTCTTTTTTTCGCACATCAAGCTGCTAATTTGTGTTTCCTTTGATTTCTTGTGAAATTTGCATTACTACTGATCAAAATTAATGATTACTTTTCTTTCTATTATTTTTATTGTTTTAAAAATAACTCTTGCTTTTTGCACTCTTATTCATTCGCTTTCTGCACTCTATTTATTTACCTTCTGCACTCTATTCATTTACTTTCCACCGAGTTCATCTGAACTTATCTTTTCTTTTCTATAGGATCCGACTTACAGTACTGGTAAATTTGGTGAAATTAAGGAACTTATTTTAGGAATGTTAGACACTTACACATATGAATCGGTGAGTATTTTTTTCTCTGGGTCAACTCATTGTTATGTATAATTCTGCTGCAACCACATTGTCAGATTGAAAAAAAATATCAGAAAGTTGCGTGCTACAAAGCCGAAAGACACCATCTGACTGGTTGCACTTACACTGTCCTATATATATATGCAAAAAATCAGAAATTTGCGTGCTTCAAAGCCGGAAGAAAACCATCGAGTTCGTGTGACTGCTCCTAGCGACAAAATTTTATGTCATAGAGACATAGATTTCGAAATTTTCTCATGTCACGCGAGGTGAATAGTCGTTGTGTCATATCACCTCGTGAGCTTTGACCTTTAACCATTTTCTTTTTTTCATCTTCAGACTCTTTTAAAAACAACCAACAAATTACTCTCTGGGGATCTTCACTCCTCTCTCAGCCATCTTAAAAATCAGAGTAACCATGGAATGACACCCAAGTCGTCAAGGTGTTGTATCTGTCATAGGCTCTATACTGATGATACTGCAAGTGGTCAACGGGATGATCTTTTGATATACAGGTGAGGAAGTGAACTCGGCGTCAGCCACTCATCATTAAAGTTATATCTATTTTTAAAAACTATGTAGATCATCTTGTGAAACTGAATTAGCTTGAAAGCGAGGCAGAACTGCTGAAAAAAGACCGGTATGAATGTTTCTTTTGATTAACAGTTCACTTCAAGGTTTTTTTTTTTTTTTTTTTGGTCTTTTGTTTTGGTAGTATATTTGTTTTGTCATGTTTACTTTTGTGTATGATCGATTTGACAGCTTTTTATTGAAACTGGGTTGCAACATGTATCTGACGTCTAAAAATTTACTTGACCAGTACGATATCGCATTGGCAGCAAGATTTGAACCTAGTCAATCGAGCTGATATTTCCTCTACTTCGGATGTGCTAGTGCGCAATTTACTATCGATCCAGCAGTCGGATTTTGTGCCATGTGATATTTGTAAGCAATAAGTCCTATGTGACATAGGACTTATTGCGTACAACTTACTCCCCTGTTTTTCTAAATTAAGGACGATATCATAAAAATACCTCACTGACCCCACGTTGCCAGTTTATTTTATGAAATTTTGCTTTGAAATCTAAATTCCTCAAGTAAACTCGTTGTGTTACACGTTACGACATTTGAAGTGCATTATGGGATACTATTCTTAGGATCACGCTCTAAAGTTAGTTATAACTGTAACCTTCAAGTCATGGCAGCAGTTATACAAATTAAGGTTACAAAGACCTTCTCTTTTCAATGACGCAGATCTCCTCTAACAAGAAACTCGCTCTCTAATACTTAGATATTTTTACTGTATGTTGCGTGATAGAAAGTTTCGTTGCATTGCGTTACACTAATCAGTATCCAGCCGCCCAGCTACTCTTCCTTGGGTCCGATTTGCCAGTCAATGTCCCATCTTCGTTCCTTGCCACAGCCTGGACCACTGCGTAAAGGCTCTTGGCCTCTACTTTATGCCCAAGATTCTTTAATCCTTCTTGGATCAGCAGAGGCATGGGGTAATCTTCGTCGATACGAATATACATCGGTTGTAACTGATGGTGGAGCCTGGGATCGACAACGGCTTGAGGGAGGGTTCGGCCAAACCAGAGATAATTCATTGTAACCTATGGAGTAAACAAAAATAACAAACAAGGAATTATCGGAAAGCAAGATCAAGGAATGTACCTGTAAACCTCTTATTATTATGAAGAACCAAGTTGCTGGTGTCCGTTTTTGATTCCTTCGCAACTCAACTCTGCAATTTTTCGAACCTAGACTCTAAATATATATATATATACATACATACATATATATATTTCTGGTGCATGACAAGACGCTCTCGACAATGCGTATTCTAGCCGAATGCAAAATGCTCGTCAAACAAGAACCTTGTGAATCTCGCCAACGGGCTCTTCGTGGCTCGATCAACTGTGGAGTCGAAACTGAGGCAACTCGCGAACAACTTTATTTTTTTACTCTTTTACCACTTTCGTGAATTATGATTGCCATCTGCCTTAAAAAATTTTAGTTTCGAAATTTTTCTGTGTTTGCCTGATTAACTGAGCCGCAAAATAATTTCGAGATTTTCCGCTGTCTTACCAGGGAAACTGCAGTTGTTATTTTCGTTCCACCAGACGCACCAAGAACCAAACGTGCCACTCCGCTTTTATCCACAAATATAGAGGGTGTGGTGGAGGATTGAGGTCTTTTCCCTGGTACGATCATATTTGATTCTGATGGTAAAACACCGAACGCGTTTTCTCTCCCTGGAGTCGAAAAGTCGTCCATTTCGTTGTTGTAAATGATTCCAGTACGAGTCGATCGATATTTCGATCCATAGCTAAAAGAACAATGATGAAATTCAATTTACTATGCTTAGAGATTCAAAGGCGCGAAACAGAAACAGAAACAGAAAAAGACAAAAACAAAACAAACAAACAATCAAACAAAACAGCCAAAAAAAAAAAAAGACAGAGTATAGCGAGATGCACAAAGTTCGACGCATGGTATTTTATATTTTCTGTCAACCTTCACATTTCACACAACACATTTCGCACTTCAAATTTTACACTTCAAATGTTCCTTGAGTATTCACGTTTCTGTTTTATGCGTGATATGTGGACAGCTCGGTAGTAAACGAAAGTTGCCAAGTGAAATAACCCTTATTTACACCAAATGACCTACTACAGATTGATCGTTGTAGTTGCTGAAACAGCGTCGCCATTTTCTGCAATAACAGACAAGTGTGAAGTCCCCTGATCGTTGGATTTTTGATAGAAGTCACCGTAGTGTGTGTAATTTGTGAATGTGCGGTCGTCCCGAATCCTCTGACGTAGAGATTCTGCAAACGTCTCGTTTGTCATTTGCTTGAGAACCTACAATGCAGGATATTGAAAAAATGTTTTCCATCTTTTTCTCTTATTCTTAGACTTTTATCTCCTAAGATCTGATTACACGTACTGTTTTCCTTCATAGCGCTTTACTTGCCCATGTTTCAGAGGAAATTAATCCTGCATCAAGATAACGCATTAGCAACTCAGTTTCATCACCTGTTCACGGGGTTATATTTTAACATTGTAAGGAGAGGTTACGTTATAATTACCTGTTAGAGCTCATAGGTTAACTAACACCATAGCAGATAACACAGTTTGAATTTTCACTTCTTTTGCGCAAGGGGATGAGCAGCTTTTTTACACGGTTTCCTCTTACTGAGAAGTTGTACTCCTGTATTTAGAAAGGCGCTGAGCTTACAGTATTTCCGGCCACACGACTCGAAGCTCAGAGACGTATATTAACAGAGGTCAAAACATGACAAGGCATTCTTTGGGTGACTCAAGTCTAATTATTCCTTTAGTATAGCCGTTTTTGTATCTAAGGGAGAGTGCTAGGAAGAAGATAACACAAGGGATCACTCACTGCGATAAGAAGAGCATAACCTCCGCAGGTGTCTAGGCTGAAATTTTTAGGCTCAACCTATCCGTTCATACGATATTTTAATCCATGACGACTTCGTGTAACGGACCAATAGCAAGTTAAGAGACACGATTTTGATCGAAGTTATGGGATTACCTGTGTTACATTTGCAAAGTCCTGGTCTCCCAACAAAGCTCTGTACGCGTACGCAAACTTAAAAGCCTCTACAATCCTGTGGTACGTCAAGACCGAATTCTTTGTTCCATTCCGATCTGATGGCTTCATGTTGTATCCTTAAGGATATAAGGTGGCAAAACTAAGTGGGTGACTTGATTTATATAGAGGTATCAGTAGTTTCTATGGTGAGAAAGTCTACCTTGTGAACGGTTGTAGGTGTGGTCCAGAGAGACCAGAGTTATGTTGCAAATCATGTGAAACAAGAGTGTCTTGCACACATAAATTCCGGATTATCTGGGCAACTGCCTCCCCTAACCCAATAACAGTCAATTAATAACAAGTTAGGGTGAATGTTGGGTTAGGGGAGGGGTAGGTGGGCTGTTGCCCGGATACTGATATTGATCCTAAATGGATTAAATTCCTATATTTTTTAACTACCCCTGCCTCGGAAAGAATCTAGCAAACATGTGTTTTAACAAACAAGCAAGACACCACCAAACAAACGAATGAAGAAGCACAAGTTATTAACGACTCTCCTTCCCCGTTTATACATATTACATTCCAACATGCAATCTGAAATTTAACTTTATTGTCGAGGGATCTGTCTTTGAGTTGAAAAATTTATGGGAAGAAATTAATTTTAACTGTGTCTTTCCTCATACCACAAAGGAGAAGGGGGGTCAATTGTTCCTTTAGAGCCCTCTTCCCCATCGGCAAGGCCCTCGTTGTGTTTTCCTACCTTTTAAAATATTCAGGATAAGACTCAGCACCGCACCACTTCCGGGGGGAGGGGTCGAGTACCAGTTGTACTTCCCCAGAGTTCCTTGTATGGGTGTCTTGAATTTTGCCTTGTATTTCTTTAAATCTTCCAAGGTAAAAATACCGCCGCCTTCCTTGATGTCCTTTGCAATGTCCTCGGCCAGTTTTCCGTTGTAAAAATCATCAGGTTTGTCACGAATTTTCTCCAGTGTTTTCGCATACTTGGGCATGTACAGGGTCTCGCCTAGCTGCTTTAATTCGCCTTTCTTGTTGAAGAGAAGTTCCCTTTAAGTTAAAAGTAGCGGTTTTTAATGATATGGGGATTAAGAAAAAAGGAGAAAAATATATTACTTGTCATTCAATTGAAGTTTCATTGTCACCCTCCGTGCAGACATAGTTATCTTTGAAGCAAAGCGAGTACGATAAATAAATCTACCGTAGAGAGCAGACATTACTTTGTGTTACCTGCAGGAAATATCATATCCCTTCTTTTTTTCTTATAATTATTTAAAACAGTCATAGCTTACGAAATCTGACTTAGAAAGAGTTGACACTCATTTACACTACCAAGAAAAATTGTCAGGCGAAGACCTTTTTCGGGGAACTTGTTTGTGTGAATAGTACATGCACAAGCGCGCGTTGTGAAGAATACTTTGAAGTGTAAAATGGAACTCATTAATTCAATCCTAAGTCCGATTATCTACACATTTTTACAAACCTCAAGCCGGGATCTTTTTTAAGAAGAGGCTTGACAGTTGACCTTGCGGCCGCCTTGTAAGCAGCATAACCAAATGGAAATCCTTTTTTGGCCATGTCAATGGAAGGCTGCACCAGTTCCCTCCAGGGAAGTTTGCCATACTTTTTCCAGCCTTCGTAAAAACCTTTCACCTCGCCCGGCACCCCAGATGCTGTGGGACCTAACCAGTTTGTGTGGTGATTTAAAAAAAGTATATTTATAATGAAAATAACAAGATAAAAGTCAGACGTCAAATAAGATGAAGTGTCGTCGGGAAATAATTACATGTAATTAACCTCTTTGAACGGATTCGATTTTATCTGGTTATTTTACACTCTCGCAACTACTTGACCTTCGAGATCGGAACGTAGTAGGCAGAGTCAGTGATAGGAAGTTAAGGTTGTTATACATGTGATATGAATTGATCGAACCCATCTACCTGAATATAGACCGACAAGCACATGAATACTGTATTGATTATGGTGAAATTAGAACTCCCAAGGACTGACTTCTGGAATTTCATTTCCAATTACACGCTGTTTCCATGATAGAACTCTGTTTCCAGTGAAATTTGATTTCTTAGCTCGAAGAGAGGAAAATTACTCTCCAAAATGAATTAAGATACGTTTCGTTAGTACCTTTTGTTGTAATAATAATTGGATAGAGAGTTTTAATGTCTTGGAGGATCCATTATTTGTCAAGTATATTTCGACACGGGACTGATTATTTTAAACTAAAACGCACCTAATTTGGAGCTCATCGTCTCATTAACATACATGTTTCTGTTGGCCTTCCCTGGGGCTTCTTCGCGAAAGTCTATGACCTCCACAAATTTATTGCTCTTGTTGTACACAACCAGGAAGCCGCCTCCCCCGATACCGGCCGAATGCATGTTGTAAACCCCAATACAGAACAAGGCGGCGATGGAAGCATCCATGGCTGATCCATTTTTCTTCAGAACGTCACGGCCTATCTCTGAGCATAGGCCAGCGTCTGACGCAACAACCGCGTGTTTATAGGGGCCATCCGCTCCTGGTGGACCAGTTGGTGGAGGAGGAATCCCCACGCTCCTGGTGGGGATTGGTTCCTCTTTGTAAGTCGTCCAGACAATCGGGAATATAATTATAAATAGCAGCAAGAATGCAACGGTTATCGTAATGCAAATGATGCCGTTGAGTCTGCAGAAAAAAAATAATGAAATAATTATTTTTAGTATGATTTACACATTTGTTGTTTTATGATCGATCTAAGAGGCTATGTCAGCTTTGTTTGACTCTGCAGTGGTCTGTACCGGAAGTACTTAATAGGTACATGCTATCGGCACATGCCCTGGAAACAGGTTCAGACTATTGTAGGATGGGCTATCGTGTTCTTTACCGCATAAATCTCCGAACAACTTATCCAAGTGATAACCGAAAAATTACGCGTTTCGTAAAAAATTTTAGCTACAAACCCAGCCCTGTGTCTATGTGGCTCGGTCGAAAAAATTATTAATTTGTAATGTTTTGGGATCATCCTTCCTTGAAACAGGATTTACAGGTCGTGTTTTTGCTGCTTGAAGTTATTATATCTATTGTATGAATATAGCCTCCAATTAACAAATCTTAGGAATTAGCTACAATTGGACACTGCTTTTTCAGTTTCCATGCGATTTTATCGCCCTAATTCTCCATCTGCAAATTTGTTTCGCGATTCATGTGGCGGTGCTGCAAATATTTGATTGTCTTCAAATGTAATGCAATTATGTCAGACTAACCAATTTTCGTAAATATTGAAGATTTTAGCTTATCTTGGCAAAAGACTAAACTGATCGAGTCTAGGTTTATAAGCTCCCACCAATGCATTCAAGGCTCAACGAGCTGCCGGCGAAAATTTAAAAAATTCTTGGCGGCACTGCAGCAACACTTGGAATTATTTCGGTCAGCGAGGGGTGTCTGTTAGAGGATTTTAACATTTGTGAGGTTCTTGTACGGATATTACGAGGTCTTTGAACCTCTGGCTTGAATCAGTGTATTTTCAACCCTCGAAACTAACTCGATAGTAGATAATGCCGTAATGTTTATTAAGCTTGAATTGTTTCAGGAAGTATTTCTGTGTACAGCTATTTACATAAGGTTGTCGGAAAAAGGACAAAGTGCACGTAATAATCTCGAAAGGTTACCTGGGTATTGGGTAATCAATGTTCTTAAATAGGTGGAACATATAAATATGGACAAAAGGACTAGTGAACGGGGAATGAACACCGGCATGTACGTGAATACAAGAAGGAAAAATAATGGAACATTACGTTGTGAAATTTTTTTCCTTGGGTCACTTCGAATGAGCTCTTTTTGAAATTACATAATTTTGGCCGCTCATCTTTAGTTTTTCAGTAAGGTTAGAATTAAAATTCAGTCTTGCGAACAAAATGATTTCATCAAACCCGCTATGTCCTGTACAGTGACATCTTTTATCATTTCCCTGAAGTCAAGGAGTCGTTTTTCCTCGCTCTTCTTTAGTTTTTCATCAAGGTTAGAATTAAAATTCAGTCTTGCGAACAAAATTATGTCATCAAACCCGCTATGTTCTTTAGAGTGATGTCTTCTAACATTTCCCTGAACTAAAAACTACCCATAATGCCTCTCAGGGTTCTGAATTAAAGCCTCAGTCCGGTCCCAAAGGTAATCTATTGTTTAGGCCATTGTTTTCTCCTTTTAAAGAACTCTATGCATAATGTTGGATTATATGAAAATCTTGCCCAGTTGCATTCAAGTAGAACACCTATCGATAAAATCACGAACAAGCGAATACCTTGATCACTACATGGATTAGTTAAAAGTGCGTTCCAAATGCTTAACCCAGTGAGCAGTAAGATTTTAAGTAAAAAGTAAATATTGTTAAATAGTTGTTTACATACCGACTAAAAAAAAGCATGCTGACTTGCACCCATTGTTTGTCTTAATACGTTGTTAAGAAGCAGCGAATGTTACGAACCAGCTCAAGTGACCTAACTAGTAAGCTTAAAAAGGACAGAAAGTTTCGATGAATCATTTTCATCGTACCCTGGTTAAACTCTATGTTTTGATGTTGCAATATCACTTGTAACAAATAAAGCGACTAACGCATTGCAATGCATCGAGCACGTCGACCTCTGCCCTTTTATCAAGACATTTAGAAATCTCTCAAATTAGCTATCAACAGAAAGCTTTATGGACATCTTTCTCGAACAAACTATTGACTCTGTGACTCAGTCAAATTATTAAATCTGACTGTACTTCGGCTCTAACCGAAGCCGACGATCTTGTTTTGAAATAGCGGACGGGACCGCCGTGCAATACAAAAGGATTTCCTTCTCACCCAGATGTCATTTTCGCTAGGCTTTACCTATAGAGACGTGTTATACATAGTCAGCGGGTTCATTTTTCCATCCTCCTTTCGTATCTAATCGCACAGATTTCAAGATAGCGACTCTAAAACTCTGGTTCACGCGTTGGGCGATGATAGTTCTCATTTCTTCCGCGTGGTGTGGTTTTGAATGCTCAGTTTCTTAAGGAGGAACTTATCAACTTTTGTCTTAATCGGCGTCTTTTTGCGACTAAATGGACTTAATAGTGAAATTATTAAACTTGACTGTACTTCGGCTCAAACCAAAGCCGACGATCTTGTTTGGAAATAGCGGGCGGGACTACCGTGCAATACAAAGGGTTTGTCTTCTCACCCAGCTGTTATTTTCGCTAAGCTATAGTAACAGATTCCATCGTCCTTTCCTATCCACTCTGACAGCTTTCAAAATAGCGACTCTAAAAATCTGGTTCTCATGTTGAGCGATGATAGTTCTCATTTCTACCACCTGGCGTGATTTTGAAAGCTCAGTTACGTAAGGAGGAGCTTTTCAACTTTTGTATCGGAACCCTATTGCGACCAATCTTTGAAAGAAGCGCCTTTCACCATATTGCCATTATAAATATTCCAGTAACACAGCAATCTGTTGCATAAGAACTTTAAGATGCTGTTGCAGCCGCCAAACTCGCGTGATTTGATACTCACCGTCTACGTTTCTCTGTCAGGTTACCTGAAAACGGTTCTTTATATTTACCTTCCTCCATTCGGCAGCCAATTGATGTAATATCTATAGCGAAACAGTGGAAGCGAATCAATCAATCAATCAATCAATCAATTTATTTAACGTGGTCAGAACGCTTCGCTAAAAGCTAGTTTACAGGTACGCCACGAAATAAAAAGAGAAAAGGAAAAGGAAAAGGAAATGGAAAAGCGAAAAACTCTACCTTACAACTGTGCGGGAAAAAGAAGTTCGTTGAAACGACTTGTCGTGTGTTTGACCTGAAAATGAAACACAGGGGTTAAGGACTGGCGCAAATTTAGATCAGATGGTAAACATTTCCATCATGAAGACGTCACTCGTGTAACCAGAGGTGCTCCAAGTTAATTAAAAAGAAAAAGAAAAAAAAAAAGAAAGACAGAGGCATGAGGGCTTAAAATACCTCATAGTTGCCGTTCTCGCGTTTGGGAACCAAACCTCACTCAGGCAACGAGTGAGGTGAAACTTACACGAGAGAGATCTACTTGACGAAAGAATATTTTTTGAGGATTTGTAATAATATTTTGAGAACATCTTCCTTTTTTTCCTTTGACATAGAGTGCGTAAAGTGCAAATATTAGGCTTTTGTATTAGGGTATGAGTTATTGTGAAAAACAATTTGCGTTATAACGTAGCTAGTAAAATTTGTCTGATCAAATCCAATTGCGCGAGCGTACTTTATATTCCTATTTTGCACGCTCAATTTTCCTTCGGGTTGAAAAGGTTATAAAACAATTGGTTCATACGTCAGCTGTGCGTTCATCCAGATATGAAGCACTTGGGAAGTTTGGAGAACACTCAAGAAGCTAGAGTCGCTCTCGGCTACGCTTCGAGCAACTCTTATGCATCTTTCGTGCTCTCCAAACTTCCCGCGTGCTTCATATCTCGATGAACGCACTCTGACATATGAACCAATTGTTAAATATAATTCGCTCCTTGCCGTCTTCCTTTCAGTTGTGTTTCGTAATTTCACACTGCTGTTTTTTTTTCTAATCAAAAAGAGCAGAGATGATATGTCAAGAGCTGTCTCGAGTTGACAGACTTAATCTTGCCGACAGACCATTGTCGCTGTGCGTCTCACGGAAACTGAATTAACATTTTGTTGTTCTCCAGAAACACAGGACATTCGCATATTTGATATTATGGTAAATCTATCAATAACACACAACTTCCTTCTTGCAAAAAAGAGTTTTACTCTGGCTTGGCACTCAAACGAGGAATGCGTGATGAGACCTAAGTAACTAGCGGTAACTTTGATACGCACAGTATTTCTAGACATTTCCTCGCTAAGCCGAGCGTGACCTTCATTAAATATCAAATGCTTAAGGATCCATTCTTTTGTACTATTTTTGTCTTATTATTGAGTTTGATAGAACTGCTGTCTAGGTCGTCAGAATTGAAAAAAAAAATTCGTGAAAATATAAAGCATGTATCGCGAAGTATCGCAATGTAAGTATTGAAAATTATATTTCATCCTCCGGAGCAAAGAGGAGCGAAGAACTGATGTTTGGGGGTGCGAAGGAAGAGGAGGGCTGGGAACAGGTGGTTTATTCGGTCAGATTCTTGTAGCGAAAGGGATAATCGTCGGACTTCGCCTCTTTTTATGGAACTTCAATAGACGCATTATCTTTTTAATCTTCCAATTAGGATATGTAGGATCTTCACATGTCTGGATATCATTAAATTTTGATTTCGAATGGCAAGCTTTTGTTTATAGATGACTGGTTCAGCTCAGAGCAAGCATAAATTAATTGAATTCTGCAACGTTCAGGAGCTTTTTAGATCTTCTAAAAATATCTTTAGTTACTCTTTTGGTTTCTTCAGGTGTGGCCACGTATATCATTCAGAATGTATGGCAGGGACTACTGGAACTGAGGGAAATTGGATCTGTATGCTCTGTAATAAAACTGGGCTTTCGCGTCTTTCTTCGTGGAAAGGCAAGAGAGTTCTGGGGAACTCAGTGAAGCCATTGTCACCCGGATCTGTGCAGGTATGTGTCATAAAAAAATTTTCCTTGTTGTCTTATATAATTCGTAGCACACAGTTTAGGAGAATAAAGGAAATTCTTTGTTGGCCTTATGTGACTGAGTGACACTGAAGCCTTAACAGCTAAAAGATTCCCTATGGTGCAAGTACTTTTTTTTTCATCATCGTCAAACTTTTACTAGCTTTATTGCAACAGTTTTAAGCAAAAAATTTTCAACCAAGCTTATTCAGTTTCATTTTTTAAGCAAAATATCTTCCCAATGGTTGACAAAATTAGTGTATAAATAACGCAACCTTTCTTTATGATTTCCTCGTGCAGAAGTTCAAAACAGAAAGTTCTGGAGCGGCAAAGAAGGAGGATCTCTCCAAGGTAAGGAGGGGTTGCTATGTTGTTGAGAAATATGAACTTTTTTTAGCTTCCATAGGCATGGGTGAAGAGACTAGAACTGCTAGGGGAATCTTTTAAATGTTATGATTTTTTGGTTATACGTTGCCAGTTGTCCCTTGTAACACCAACTGGATGAAATAACCTAATTCCTATTCTAGAAAAAGTCGACTCTCACCCTACGGACACCTCGCTTTTACAGACAATCCACCATTGCGGCCAAGAGCCAGCCCCCCGGCGAAACGCACAAAGAAATAAGAGAAACAAACTCCCGTTATTACGGACTCTCACTATAGCGGACACTTAAGTAATTCGCCTAAAATTTTGACTCTCATAATATAAAGCGACATTACGATAAATGAAAATGAAGAAACCATTCTTCAATTGGGTGTGAACAGGAGGATTTCCTTCTTGTCGCCGAATAGATTTCCGGTTCGTGAGGTCACGTTAGAAGCTTTATGTTTGCGTCGTTACACATTCTTTGAGAGCATTATTTACAACACAATTTTGTTTCTCTTGTTCCCCGCTACTACGTACTCTCGCCATTACGGACATTTAATCTTCCCCCGAGGGTGTCAGCAATGACGGGAGTCGACTTTATTTCATTTTGATTGTCTTGTGTTCAATTTTTTTCCTTTAGTTTTCTCTGTTTCAAAATAAAACATAGGATGTGGAAGTGGACGCTGAAACACTTCACGGTTCCTTACGTAAACTTACGTTTTATTTATCCTTCGTATGTCTCTTCTCTTGACAGACTGAAAGATCAGTGCCTTCACTTACGCAGCAACAATTCGAGGCAGTGTCTAGGCTGAAGGCACAAAACAAAGGTGTATCGCGGGTAATTAGATTGACTATTAATGTATCAGATGATCTTAAACCTTAACTACCAAAAATGAGAAAGGTCTCTTTGATCATAATCATCTTTGCTAAAAATCGGAATAATAATGCAACGATAATGGTGCATTCAGTCGTTTACCTTCTTTCGATGTAAAGTATTTATGTTTTTTTTTTCAATTTTGCTTTTGTTTTGTTTAATTGGTTGTTTGTTTCTGACTAGTTTAGAAGGTGGCACTACTTTCGACGCTTAATTGTAAACTTTTTTTACTCATTGTCGATCTTCATACTTAACCATCCTAAGATAAGAGGATGGTTTGGGAATTCCCGGATTGATTGAATTACAGCTTCGACAGGGATTGGTCGATACATTTTCAGTTTCCTGTTGAACTGTGAAATACTCTGACGAAGTGAGTTTCAGCGCACTCCATCAGAAAATTTCCCGCTCCTTTAAAGATTGATCAGACTGGAGGATGGTGAAAACCAAGCAGGATTACTTTAAAAGAGATGGAGAGAGACAAATGTCGGGGCCATCGAAATACTCTCGGCGCTGAATTGCGTGCCTCATCAATGTATGCGGGCATATATTTAGATTTCTGGGATTCTATGGGGAGGCTGGGGTTATGATCGATTTCTCCTTTTTAGAAGACGTTTCGGCAATCCTGGGTACAAATACCACAGTAAAAAACTTTATGAGGACTAGGCATGAGTTTACTGCGCTTAGAATTCCAGGTCTGGTTGAGTTCTAGCTTTTTCCAATGTGGGATTGGTCGATACATTCTCCGTTTCTTAGGTGAGCGGTGAAATACTCTGACGGAGTCAGCTTCAGTGCACTCCATCAGAATATTTTGCGCTCGCTTAAAGATTGATCAGGTCGCGGAGATGGAGGAATTTTGCATGATTACTTTAAGAGAAGTAGAGAGCAAGACAAATATGGCGGCCATCAAAATCCACTCGGCGCGTGCATCGTTAATGTGTGCTGGCGTACATTTAGATTTCTGGGATTCTATAGGAAGGCTGTAGTTATGATTGCTTTCTTCTTTTTATTTCCTTCTATTTCAGTTGGCCATTTTATCAGAGTTATCAAGGTCAAGTGATGCTATTAGTCATACTTACGGCAGTCGATCGACTAGCTCAGGCAATATCTTTGAAGACGAACGCTTCAGACTGCATCTTGCCCCGCCACGAGATTAGAATAATTACATCAATTGGTGAGAGCTAAGTGCCCTTGTTAGCGAGACACCAAGGTGAGATGAGCTGGGAAAGTTCGGCGTCACATTTATTTTCACTTTCTTGTTTCCCTCGGCTCGTGGCTTGTCAAGAAACGTTTGTTGGTTCCATAAGTTAAGTCAACGTCACCTCGCATTGGAAATTTTCTGTTGGAGAACGGTTTTCCTCAAACCTTTGGAACTTCATTGCAAATTATCTCTATCAACTTACCTACGTCCTCTTTGTCAAAAGTCGCCTCATTCAATAACTGGCGTATGCAGTTTTGGACAAGTTGACTTGTCAAGGGAAAAATTTTGAATGAAAACATGCTGGTGTAAAGGCTGCATTGTGGTGATGAATTGATGCTAGTTTTCTTGTAAAGCCTTCAAGTTCAGTTGTTAATGAAATTGTATACTTTATTGCCATGACTATGCATTATCAGCCATGTAAGTCATGGGACTATTGATTTAAGTTTTTCCGGGAGACATACTTTAAGGAATGCACGTACATGGATGAAGTATCTTCATTCATATAGCAGCGTTAGGAACGAGTTGAACTAATGCTGCTATACGTAGCATTATTACAGAACCCTACTTAATTCAGTTAAGCGTGCTTGTAAAATATATGTTTTCTCTGGATTTGATTACCGGTCGTTTCGCACCCAGCTAGGTCGATTCGTACCTAGTTAGTCGGGTCGTTTCGTACCCATACAAATATAGTATGTTTTCCATGTTAGGAATGTTTTAAGTAAGAATGGAAAAGACAAAAAAACGAGAATCAACGAATTTGTCATCGTTAATAACAGAGGGAGAAAAAAATTCACATTCACAATATCTGCATGTTATTATTAAGAAAATGGCAAGTATAAACAAGAGACTGATATGTTAAAAAAAAAAATATATATATATATATATATATGTATATGTCAGAGTTACCTTGCACCAGGTATCAATTCGTTGTTTTCAGTTAGGAGGTCAAGGACATAATTCTGGTTGTATCTTGCTCGTATGATTTTACCAACTTGTCGTGTACAACAATCACCATCTATTCACGCGATCGCGCTGGAGGTATTTCAAATGAAAGTATATTGGAATGGGTACGAATCGACTCAAACTCGGCACGAATCGACTGAATCTGGTTGCGAAACGACCGTGGGTAAGAAACGACTGGATGGCCTGGATTTAAGTCACGAACTTGGCCTAAAATGTCCTTTTAACGCGAGCAAGGAAATTTTTAAAATTGAGATCAGCACAAGGCCTTTTTCAAACGCTTTTAATAGATAGTTTCAAGAAGTCTTTGGAAGTTAATTTTTATTCATAAACAAGCATTCATGCGCGTAACGAAAATATTTTTATCGAAGGAAATTGTTGATGTTGCAATATATTTTAAAAATTAGGAAATGTAAGTAGAAAGGGAAGATTCTTTGTGCGTTCACTTTTACAATATAATTTACAAGAATTTCGCTTTGATGCTGCTTTGAAAAAGCGGATTGTACCAAATTATTTATAATAAAATAAATGCATGCTTACCTTTTATATTTGTTCGCGATTCTTTTTTTTCCCCTAATATTGCGCGAGAGCTTTAAGCGGAATGAGATTGTTAAACTTTGCTATTGGTAGGAGAGTCTCGTTGCAAAAATTCCGTTCTCTTGGGACTGATGAACTAAAACTTTTTAACTCTGATACATCGACAAGCACAACTTACTCCTCTGCTTCGTTCGTACGCACGTAGATCCCAAGAAAAGCCACTGGCACTGGAAATTTAGATTCGGTTGATGGTGTAGCCCGATTAAGTCGGGCTATATCCGGGTTCTCATGGCTTTCATAGTGTGGAGAGAGAGAGAGACTGGCGAGAAAAGGTGGAAACGATGAGACATGTGGAAAAGATAGGGTTTTTCGTGCGCACAACCAGAAGAAGGAAGAAAAACAATAGATTGAAAGCGGCTTTCAAATCTTGGCTACTATCATTGTCATTATTAATATCATCACAATTCATCCCAGAACTTGATTCCTACGCGCAAGTCGTTTGTAGTCTCTCCAAAATCGACAAACAGACGGCAGGTGAACAAACATTCCAGTATTCTCAAAATTTAGTGCCGGTTTGAGCGCTTTGCGATTGGTTGGCGAGAATGACATACAGCAGGAGAGTGTTCAATTATTCACAGTTAGTTTGTTAGAATTTTCCCGCTCAACTGGGAAAATACAACCAAAATTTGTAGTCGAATTCAGCCCTTTTACTAGCTTCTGGTTAGCGGTTGAGGTCCGTAGCCGTTGATTTTAAATGCTGATCATGGTGTGTAAAAGACCCGGTAGAGACGCGAAAATATCTTTGGTAAGAGGCAAATTTTCGTCTTTTGAATTTAACACCACATTATGGCGACAAAGTTGTTTAAATCACTAAATTCGGAAGTGAATTAACTTTTATGTGATCTTTTCTCCAGCTCTTGAGATTGGTGGTTTTACTCAGAGCCGGAGCTCATGAGTACGTCCAAACTCCAAAAGGTAATTTTATTCTTCAGAAAATGAATATAATAAAATAAAGATAAACTTTATGCAGAAGTGCAGTTTGTTGTTTTCCAGAAACAAAATGCAAAGACATCTGTTTGAATTATATTTATTTCATTTTACTTAAGTAATTTTTTTTTTAAATGTGAATACGTTTTTATGAAGTTATTGTGACTTTTGAAATTAACAATTTTTAGCTATTTTCCCTACGCTAACGGTTGTTATTTACTTATCCTCTTTGAAATATTTCACACACAGTTACTCAATACCTTGCTGTGAGTTTGTTGACACTTCAAATACGAGATTCTTCTATTGAGGAATAAGAAATTTCAAAAATTACTTTCGGCAATTAATTTGAATTACCTGCAATGTTTAACGCCTCGTGGTTAAGTGACGATTTACAAATTTTAAAACCTATCTATTTTGTTCGAACTGAGTTCGTGTTCTATCTAGGCAATTTAAAGCTGTAAAAATTTAATGAGAAGCTTCAGACAAGACGAGACCACAGCTAATTGTGGTCCGTATAGCTTTAAACTAATGGTTGAAGTGTTGTAATTTGATCGCGTTATATGAAGGACTTATAAATGACGTTTTCCTAAATGTGTTAAAAAGATTCTTATAAGAAACAACTAATTTATTACAATGTCTGCTTTGTTTAAGAAATCGTTTCTCATCAATTTCTTCTATGCTTCTGAAAATTGAAACCGTTAATACATATTTTGTAATTTTGCTGTTCTTTATTCGCAGAATTATTTCATTGCTTCTCTTAAAATTGGACTTCCCTGTCGTAATTTACTACATTACACATATAACGTGTCTGACACAAACTGGTTTCAATTCCATTTATTGACATCTGAGCTCTCTTTTCATTTACTTTGCATCTTAATGAGAATAAATTTTTTTAATCCCTTTTCTGAGTTTTCTGGGATTTTTTGCCGTGAAACAAAAATAGCTGCAATTTTTATTGAAGTGATTTGTTTCTTAGGATGACAGTAGCATATTTTTTATCTTTTCATTTCGTTCGTTAGAATGTACAGAGGAAATTTCACTCAAGGGCAAGAACGGAAGCTTTACCAGTCCAGGTGGCTACCAAGGTTACCCTAACAACACTGTGTGCAGGTGCAATCTCTCGTTCAAGTTAAACAAGAAAAAGATAAAATGCAAAAATAGAATATGGCAAAGAAACGCAACTTGCTAAGAACCACCTCATAATCTCGGTCCGCGAGACTTGGATGATTTTCTTTAATCAAGAAAGAAAGCGATACAACTTGATATTCCCTGACAAAAGCCAATAAAATTTTAAATACGTAATTGCCAAGGTACATTCCACTGATGACTGTTGTCACCCAAATCCCACCTAAGATCAAGGAACTGTGAATTTGACATGATACAGACGCGTTTCTTATTATTTTAACCTTTTGATTCTGAAGGTCTGATAGTTAGTCCTCCCCTCTAACTGTTAAGCATTTCCTTCTAAATCAGTTCATGGAATTTAGTGTCTTAGCTCAAGATAACAACCTCTCATCGATAAGTTTGAGTGTTCTCATAACCTTTTAGCTGGATGGTGTATGAATACCATAGGGTGAAGTAGCATGTAAATCACTTCTGGGAGTTAAAGGGCTTAAACGAAATCTGTAACAAACCTTTTTACTATTTACATTCAGATGGTCTATTACAGCCACATACGATGCCGAAATTCGAATTACCTTCCACGACTTTGACTTGGAATGGAGCAAGACATGTATCCTGTATGATTACGTCACGGTGTCCGAAAAGTGTCTTTCCTCGAAAACCTGGTCGAGTAACCTAGGATCTGGGGATAACGTGGATGGATTTTGCGGAAAAATGACGACATTCAATGTTACAGCAAGCTGCGGTAAAGTGTTGATAGAATTTAAATCTGATGATTCTATAACAGGAAAAGGATTCAACGCTACCTATGAAGTTATTCCACATCCAAGTAAGTGGTATCCTTCCACCTCTCCCCCCCTCACCATCATTCTCTATTTTCCAGCCTTATGTATAAGTATTAATATTTTTGAAAAGTGGTCTAGGTTTAAGGTGACGATGAGGGAGGAAGGGGCGGAGGAGATTTATTTCGAGTTAAAAATGTTACAAGTTTGTATGACTTTCGCCTCCTGGATTTTAGGCCTATTATCTTACAGCTTTCTCCCTGAGAAATTTTCGTTGCTTGGAAAAACCTTTCACTTACTCCCTGACCTCTTTTTCTTTTGTCCTTTCTCTTTTTCTTTCTATATTTCTTTCTTTCTTCCTCCCTTCCTCCCATTCTCTATCTTCCTATCTCAATCCTAATTTTTCTTTGTAATTTATGTAATTGTTTATCAACTTTTCACAGAAAAACCTGAAATTGTATCATTTTGTCCAGCTGGAACTAGTACTTGTTCATCAAGAAAAGTATTTACAGAATATGAAGACGGAAATATCCCATGCCAAGTTGCAGGATCTGTGGACATGCAAACCTGGTCTTATCTCGGTTCTGACCCTGAAAATCTAAATGGATCATTCGACGGACTTCGTATGTTCACCGACGAAGAGGGAGGGCTCTTCATCAAGAACCTTAAGCGAAGTGATACAGGATTTTATAAGTGCTATGTAGAGAACTCCCTGGGAAATCACAGTGCAGTGGTGTACTTGCATGTGAAAGGTGAGTGTCGTTAACGATTTGTTTTTTTGAACTTACAAACCTTCTCCTCTTGTAAGCCTGTACAGGCTAACCTCCATCATAGTACGCATCTCTACAACGGTCAATTTGTTTTTGTTCAAATTCCATCATGATTTTCATATGTACATTTATTTCAAGGTGAATTCGAAGCAAAAAGCGTTTCGCAATTTTTCTTTTTTTTATTATCAGTTATGGAGAAAATAACTTGTGAGCACCTAAGGGAGATCTAATTTGTTTTTCTCTGTTTTTTTTTCCTGTTTGTTCCACAGAGAAATGTAACTGTCCCAAAAAGATCTTTGCCAATTGGTACAACATTCCGCCATACATCAAATATAATGGACCAGGACAGAATCCAACCGGATTATTTCCACATTTCCTCCCACAATTGTTTTCTCACTGCTGTGGAAACTGTTCCGAAGGTGACGGGCCGTCAGAGATCATCTATGATGTTAAATTCCAAGAAAACCTGGTGGCCATCAAGGATATAAGCAACCTTGAGAGCGTTGATACCATCACGTTTCCTATCAGTGGGAACAAGGATAACCCCTCTTATAAGAATGAGTTTAAATTCTTGCCGCTTATAAGCTCACCGGGAGTGGCTTTTATCGTTGTTGAAGAACCACCTGGTACTTCTGCTAAAGCTGTGTTTGACTCGGTCGTGTCGGGGTGGCCTGTGCTTGTACTCACCATTTTGATGGCCTTGTTGTCTGGGATAGTTATGTGGGCACTGGTAAGTAATTTTTTTCTGGCCGAAAATGTCATAGTGTTATACTATGAGGATTGACTTTTGTAACCTTCTTTCAATCTATTATAAAGGATACTAGGTACAATCCTGAAGAATTTCCGAGGTCGTTTATCAAGGGGAGCGGAGAAGGTTTCTGGTGGGCTTTTGTCACAATGACAACTGTGGGGTAAGAACTTTTCACAGTTCAAGTAAACATATTTAGTAATAGTAATGGAACCGAGAGAAGTCAAAGTCGGTCTGTAATCACACGAGTGATTAACAAAATCGGACGAGCACGAAGCGGGAGTCCGATTGTTAATCACGAGTATGATTAGTATATGTAATCACATGAGGCCAAGTACTATTAAGGATTAATTGCACGAGAGTTTTCAAAATTTTCCAAAATTGCCCGAGTCGCGAAGCGACGAGGGCAATTTGGAAAATTTTGAAAACTCAAGTGCAATTAATCCTTAATAGTACGAGGTCTCATGGGATTACTTGTTTATCAATAAAGGGCAAAATTTATACGAAGGAAAATCACGCGCGCAGTCTATTTTTAACAAATTTCAAGATAACGAACGGTTGCTATGCAACGGATTAGCCAATCATTAACAGGTAATCATGCCCTCTCTTGATTACTAAAAATGCCCTCGATTAAGAAAAAATGCCCTCTCTCTCAACCAATCAGCGCTCAGTAATTTTGCCCTTTATTGATAAGAGACAGAACTGAACGATACAAGTCCTGTCACCAATTAATCATAACCATTTCAATTTCCGAAAAAAAAATACACCTAGAACAAATATCTTCAGTGGAGACAAAGTCTTCTGTTAAAAATTCCTCCATTTTGGAAATTCCCGGGCCGGTTTTTCTTTGGAAGAATGGTTGTTGCTATGGTTATCGTGATCATTTCTGTGATTGGTGGCTTAGCTGAGTAGACTTGTATGATTGGCTGCTTCAACTGTCCGGGTACAGGTATCCGATTACAGCCAACTGTCCGATAACAACTGTACAGAATGATCAGTAAAAAATGAAGGTGCGAATGCACCAATAATATTTGAGGAATTTGTAATGGTTATGATTAATAATGGTAATAGGACCGAGTGGAGTACAATTCGGTCTGAAATCATACGAGTGATTAACAAAATCGGACTACCGTGAAGCAGGAGTCCGATTTGTTAATCACGGGTATGATACAGACATATTTGGACGACACGAAGTCCTGTTGGCAATTAATCAAAACTATGACAAACTTTCAGAAAGAACATAGATATTAGTTATACGTTTTCGTAAAACAAAAACAACAGTAAACTTGGCGAAATACGAGACAACAGCGCGCGCTCATCACGTGTTAACTGTCCTATTACACTTTCCAATTGCAAGCATTACGCGTACTCTGTCCTATTAGTGCTCACATCGGGCTGGTGATAACCAATCACGTTTTAATATTTTTCTGCAGTTTTGACTAACCTTCCGTTTAGTTATGCTTTCTATGAAGCGCTGAAAAGGAAAAGTAAAATTATAGAATAAAAAATTATTGCTCAATGTGAAGCCTCAGTAATTAATGATACATATAAATTTCCTGGGAGGGGGGAAGGAGGCACTGTAGGCATAATTATGTAGGACATCCAACTATGAAATTTATTCTGCGCTTTTCTTGTTGTGTTTGTTGTTGTTAGTAATGTCGCCTTTTCTTTTCTGTTCAGCTCTCTTTTTTTCTTTTTTTATAACATCTCCGTCACATGACTACCATTCGACATTTTTCTTTCAGTTATGGTGATCGATCTCCCCGGGGATTTCTTGCTCGTATATTTGCGATAGTCTGGGTTCTAGTTGGCCTCGTGATCACATCCATTTTCACCGGTGTAGTGACCACCTCTCTAACAGCCATCACACTGAGTACTGATGTCAAACTTTATGGTGCTAAGGTTGGTTTCAGCCAAATCTCAAGCACATACTTCCCAAAGGCCTGGATATGGATTTTTCCGAGGACCGAGGGAAATTTTGACGCGTTGCCAAAAAAAACTGTTTTGCAACGACTGCAACCGAACTTTGGAATTGATGATGTTATAGTAAACTCAAAACATACATTTCTCACAAGAATTTTTCCGCCATCCAGGAATTTAGCCTTACAGGGAGCTTTAAAAAGAAAAGAATCGTTACTCAGACGAGTCTTAAATTTCAAGTTGTCGCCAAATATGTTCCTATCGCAATTTCTCTCTTCTCAAAAACCAAACTCTATTTAAACAATATGATTTTGATAATCTCACCCCCTAATTAGAGGCTATACTGGGGTTTGACTGAACTCGTCGGTTTCAATTCAGTATATTTCAAACGCGGCCTAAATTCTAAACATTACATAACTGTTTTCCTTGGAACTACTGAAAGTTATCTTTATTTTACAGGTTGCAGCAGTGGCCAATTCTACCGAGTACAAGCTGGGTTTGAGCAAAAATGCAATTTTGAAAGGTGAGTTCTTAGGGATGACTTTAAACTGACTCACCACTTTTTTTTAAAACTAACAATGATGATAGGTTGATTAAGACGATAATGACAACTTTTTTTTCCTTTTAACATAAAAATTACATGTTGCCGTGTGTCTGCCGTGTAATATTTGTAAGAAGAACAACTTGGCACTCTAGGCACGGCCGAGTGTGTGGGTATGTGCGGGTGTCCTTAACATATTTTGACGTATCCTGTGATCTATTATCGTACAGACCCACAGCAACAAGGAATCTATTTGTTTTATATAATAAAAAGCAATATATTGTTCATTTTGATGTCGTCTGTGCGTCTGTCCTCTAATACATAAGTAAGAACCAATCAAAATTCGTAATATATAATTCAGCTTATCGTATAATTATTATTTTTTTATTTTAATAGAATTTAATGACCTAGAATCGATCGTTGAACCTCTGAAGAATCGCGAGGACAATTTGAAGGGCGTACTTGTAGACACTTACGTGGCTGGGGAAATGTCAGAGTTTTCAAGCGATGAGCTTCGAGTCAACAAAATCATCGACCATAATTCTTATTATGGCGTCGTATTTGGAAAAGGAGAGTTGACAAAAATTCCAATTCAGGAATGCTTCACTGATTATGTGTTGTCCCATCAGGCGGAGATCTTCGAGATTGTGAAGAAGGGTACTAAACCTATGAGTGTAAGTAGTACAGCCATTTAACATAAAAGGATGGTCGGTCCATTTCACCTAAATCTTATAAGATCGGCTCCTTAAATTCTCAATTACTTAAGTCCAAATCCGTCGCGTTTCATTGTATCTATTTGTTTGAGTTGAGTTCACATGTTCGTCCGATGTTATTTACACAAGTTTTGCAAAATTTTTCTCGTAATGTCCGTTACGGTCTACTACTTCTTCTTAACTGAATTAGATTTACACAAGTTTCATGCGAGAAGAGCAGATAGCTTAGTGTCACTAATTGATTTTCGCGGTCACTCAGTTCCACAAAAAAATTGAAATGTCAAAGAAATATAAGTCACCCGACAACAGTTTTTTCGTAATACTCGTAACTTGATAATTTTATCATAAGACATACTTTTCAAGTGAATTACCTAGGTCATAGCCACCAACATTTTACAAATATATTGACTCATCTCTGTGCCAGTTTTCGATCGTCACGCGCTCCTCCATGTTCACTATTGCCCTTTCAACACAAACACTCCCCCACTTCATCGAAGGCCCGCAATATTTATGTAGTTTGTTCTTGCCTTGATCAAGCACAAGATAGCTAGAGCATTAATTCGTCTGTTAGCATAAACGAAAACACTCAATGACCAGCTTTAATCTGTTCCATCAGGAGCCCGACGGGAACGCAGCTTTAGAACGTTCGTCTGGCTTGTTTGATGCTACTACTCCTCTGTTTCAACGTTCCATGTACACGTGCGTTGGTCTGTTGCTGTTTTTCGCGACCTGTGGTATTATCTGGGATTACGGTTACATGAGGTATTGGAAGAAGAAAGCTGAAAAGGGTACGAACATTTATTGAAGTCGATCATGTATTTATTTCTTAGGGAGGCGTTTCGTAAAAAGCATGATAGTCTAATATATGGTCGGACACTTCAGATATACATAGTTGGACTCATCCGATAGATGGTTCGACACATCCGATAGATGGTCAGACACATCCGTTACATGGTCGGACACATCCGCTACATGATCAGACACATCCGATACATGATCAGACGCATCCGATTCATGGTCGGACAAATCCGATACATGGTCGGACACATCCGATACATGGTCGGACACATCCGATAGATGGTCGGACACATCTGATACATGGTCGGACACATCAGATACATGGTCAGACACATCAGTGAAAACTACTGTATACATAGAAGTTAGCAGGACAGTGAAAACTACTGTATACACAGAAGTTAGCGTCTCCGGTCCCTGTATCGTCTCGGTGTTGACAACTGTCAAATGTATTAAAATATAATCCTTTCTAAAGTGAAAAACATTTTTCCAACGTGCCGCATGCAACATTGTTTCTTACATTCATCGTAGAAAAAGTCAGGCGCAGCAACACGATGGCACTTACGGATCACTGAAAATTCAGTTTTTTCCTCCTTGGAAATCAACTCAAAATTCTTGAATCTTGTAACCGATGTGAAAGAAAATATTTGCTGGCTTGGATCACTACACGGACTGGACTTTTGCGGAAAATTTTCTCTATATATTTTCCCCTTTTTTTTTCCCACGAGTTTTGGGTATTAATCTTGATTTGTTGCTGTGTTCCAGCCGGAACATCTCACAAACATTTACTGCTTTCCACCAGATGAAAACTTCCGTATTGTTTTCGTATTTTAATTTACTCCAAATGTCCAGTTATAAATCATCCACCACTTACAGGTGCCTTTACCACCATGAATGACTCGAAAAGTAAGACGATTTGAGGATGTTAGGATGTATTCCTTGTTAATGTTCAGCCACTCGAGGAGAACATAGCAATTTGCATGCTACAATGGCGGTGATACAACGTGTAACACTCAATCCCCACAAATTCAAACCACTCCGCATTTTGTTTCATGTTGCAGAGGAACTTGAGCTGCTTGGTATTCCTGCCTATGAAATGGCGAAAAAGAACCTGGATATGCTAGATGCCTTGATGGAGGAAGTGCAAGACTTCTACGACAACTGGGAGAAGAGAATGGACGAGATTGTGGATAAACATGAGATGCAGCTAAGGCTACAAGCAAAAATGAAGAACTTGGAGGAAAAAGCGACTGAAAAATCCTCTTACGAAAATGAACTTTACATGAATAGATGAGTTGTTTCACTGTCTCATTCCTCCATTATCACTGTTTCCATGTTTTTGCATTGTTCCACTTTACTTCACACACGTAGCTGAGCAATCATGCTAAAAGTACTTAACTCCCGTTAGATTACGAATTAGCTCGATGGAGCGCCACCTCTAACCCTCTTGTGCCGAAAGCGAATAAGTGAAAAGCGCCGTATCTAGCCCTAGGAAGGCGATATTAGAAGAGTGCAACTTTGCTTAGAACTGTCTCGAAAAATTATTTCAATGGTTGTTACTCCGTTCTCTTCCATTTTTACTGAGATAACAAGGGAGCAATGACGATGAAATACTACCAAACAAAGAGCAACCCAATGTGAAGGAAAAGCCCAGTTTTTGAGAAATAAAAAAAAAAACAAACAAACAAGCAAAAAGATTCCGAATTACTTTGAAACATTTGAAAACATTCGAAAAGATTCAATTTCAATTTCAATACGTCTTAGTCACGATCTTGCTTAGGAATACGAGGATTTTCAGATTAGCACCGTTCTCAAGTTCACGTTGACCCAAACTGCGTCGCAACGCCTCTGCACTTGATCGAGTAAAATGTGGCATGAGTAATTCAAACGTTCGACATTTGGAATCTTCATTGAGTCGACCTGGCAGTTTACGCGACCTTTCAGATTAAAGGATTACCGTAGAAAGTTACCTGGATTTGGCATGGGAATGACGTTTGACAGCTAAATCATTCGCATCATTTATTAAATAATATGTCCTTAATAAACAGTGACACTTTTTGCACTTCATTCACGCTAGCGATCAAGTCTCTTCTAAACGATGAGCAAGACGTAGGCTGTACAGTATTGCATAAAGAAGGATACACACACTCCTGCACTCTTGACGATTATTTTTAATATTTTACAATTTGTGACAGTAAAGTCGTTCAAGATTATCTCAAAAAGGTAGTCTTGTAGGTTAGAGAACGATGTAATGTCTGGTGTCTAAAATTATTCATAATTTGCCGCATTCAACGACATTCTTACTTGTCGCAAAAATTCAAGATAGACATAATTTTGTTATTGTCTACATTCTCGTCGGAGCGTAAAGATATGGACAGGGTTGAGTTTCGTAGAATGCGTCCCAAGTTTTTACGTACCTTTTTTATCATGGTGTCCTTTCAAGTTATATATGTATTAACAATAATTCGTCGCTTCTTGAATTTTCCTAGATTTTTTTATTGTTTGTTTAAGGTTCTTTGAAAGCAGCCCGCTTGGTAAATAAAAGAAATTTGTTGTTTCAAAACATTCAAGAACAATATAATTATTTCTCCCATTGACTATAAACCGTTTTTACAATCATCCCGTCATCTTTTCGTTATTTCATTGCTTGCGTCATACAACAAAAATATGAATCTTCTTAATTCCTAGGTCTACGGCTGCAAAGATTCCCATCGCAAGGTTGTAACGTGTTTCAAAATGTAATGTTTCGCACTGGTTACATCTGTCATACAAAGCAAATAAATAATACAAATACAAATTCAACATCAACTGTTTTTGTACCTTACATTAATTTACAAGATACAGAAAAAGATATATTTTATTTAGAGAGTACAGGCTGCACTTAATAATCAGAGGAGCTTCTCTAAATCTATTTGCCTCAATTCTAATCAAAGAACCCGTGCCAACGAAACAAAGATACAATTTTAGACGAAAACGGCGTTGCATTTCCTAGATTGGACAAGATCGAGAACATTCGGCGGATTTTCGCCATTATTTAATCGAGGAAAGCGGAATTTTCCAAAAGTGCTGTCGTCATGCCGACGTTTTTAATTTTTTTTTCCGGCACACAATTATTGTTATGTTTATTTAACGATTTTGGGGCAAACGTCAAAAGTGAGTACAAACGAAATAAAAGGGATTCAGGTTATCTGTTTTCTCATCTCTTTACACTGCAATTGCATGGGTCTAATTAAAGAACGGGTACAAAACGAAACAAAAAAAGGTCGTTATAAAAATAAGTTGCTCTTGTTCGGAACACCTGAAACTGCGAGTTAGTTTTTTCCCCTTTACAATCTAACAGCGTTTAGATGAATTAAGAATTGACTATATGAAAATTACCAAGTATAACACAAGTATTTACTTAATCTTTGAGACCGAAAAAGCGTCAGAGGCATATGTTATAGACATTCTCTTAAATCTTTGTATTTATTTTTGTTTTCTTAAGGTAGGCATTTTTCCATAAGTCATAGTATCCTCCAACCGCGATTAAATTTCAATATTTGAAATATATTAAAAAATGTACCTTCATAAATTGCTGTTGGCCAAAAATATTACTTTTAATTCATAAAATTTCATGTAATATTTTAGCGTTTCGTTAAATTCGATTGCGTTCGACGACCAGTTTTGTAAGAAGGTGTATGACAGACTTTTTCATTAATTTGTGTTGCGGAGTCATCCTTCTGTTTGTATTTAGTCCATATCTTGAGCACGTAGGACCAAAGACATCCTTGACAACGCTTTATTCAAATTCTACTCAAACCCGTTGATGTTTAATTTGTTGTTCAATTAGAGCGAGCTATGATTGGCTGGCGCAAATGACATCCTGTCAGGTGGTAATAAATTATTCATGCACGAAATTTGCATTTGCACAGAATTTCCTCGAATCGAGAGCGAAAATTCAAACCGATCTTAAACCGAATGTAGCCTTTAATTCTTCACGTATTTCTGAGACTCAACCGGTCGCAAAAAAAGGGAAGAAAAAGAGAAAAAGGCAAGCCTTTACTTGAGCAAGTTGAACATGCTATGCGAAACTACCTTCGCCTGGATGAAATTCGTTTTGGTCAGTTGCATGGTTTCGACATTTTCCTCCAGTTTAAGCTGAAATTGGCGAATTGCTTTTACCTTCAGGAAACCAATCCTTTCTTGAACCTTTTTTTGCAGCTTTTGAAGCTAGTATTGGCATTATCTCTGAGCACAGAAGCGGAAAATTACAAGCAAACACTAACAAGTAAGATTCTTTCATTAGTTATATGAAGCATTTTAATGTCGCTATTGAAGTTGGTAATATTCTGTGGTAACGAAACGCCAAGACATATCAGTGAATTGATTATAATTTAGCTGTGTTTTGTTTTAAAGATAATTTTTTTTCAGTGGGAACGATAATGATCATTTTGCAAAGCGATATGGATTGTTTCGCAGTTTATTCGCTGCTTTAATTTGGGAGAGGGAAAATGTTTCGAAATGTTACGCAGTAGCCATTATCAGCCAAATAATAATTATCAGAGTCAAATTATCCACAATGCTATAAGCACTACTAAAAACAGCTTAAAGGCCCTCGACACTTCCATTCAACTGTTGTCACCATAACTGAAGCCACAATTCATGAGCAAGGAATAGAGAATGTTTCTAGACATTTTTCCACCTTCTTTAAGAAGAACGAAGTCCTCTCTGCTACTAAAATTTTACCCATAAAAGTTTCACAAACACAAAAAAGATTTCAAATTTTTGCAGTGTTTTTATTACTCTGTGCAAACGGAAATATATGTTTTCTTCGAATCTTGGTAAAATGTAAACGGAATTGAATAGATCGCGCAACTTGTTGTGAAACACAACTTTGTAACATTCAATATTTATTTAGCCTGCAGAAGAGAGAAGATGAAATTCTACAGTGGATAAATTATAAATTTGTCCCCGAAAAAATTAATTGCTGTGATCATTTAGATCTATATTATCTGACACGAAATTTATCATAAGTTACCTTAAAACTAAGAAAAAAAAAACCAAAGATGAGTTATCTTAGGAAACGAAAACATTTATAAGAAAATGATGAATTATTTTCTCGTCTTGCCGCAAGAACTCGTTGAAAAAGGCCGTGACATGACATCTGTTTGTTTCCGGGGCTCAATGATTGGTGGAAAAGTTGCAGCAGGTGTTGCAAGCTGAGTATAATATACGAACGAAAATAGCTAGAGTAATTTATTTTAGAAGTTGCAAGAAAAAATTTTTGGTCATTCGATCTTTACTGGTAAAGAATTAAATAGAAGATATTGTGGGAATGACGTTGAAATTCGACAAAGATGTATCGTATGTACGATATATCGTTCAAATTTGGGGGAAAATACTAAGACTTTTTTTTTCGTCCGACACTTTTTCGAAACTGTTGTATGTTAATTTACCCTAATGACTTAAGATTGGTAAGTTAGGGTGGCGATATGCTGGAAACGTCTAAACTTTGATGAAGTGAAAAGCGACCAAGCAAAATTAATTGATTAATTTCGCAAAAGCCCTCATCTTGATCTGATCTCCGTTATTTCAGCGAGCATTAGCTTAAGTTTACCAAGACTTCTTTATAAAATGTTGTGAAACTGAACTTGCGTGATAAGGCCAAAAAATTCGCTAATTCAAAACGACATTGTGACAGTTGGCTGTTTTGAGTTTCTTTCTGAGATCACCGGCTGAGGACTAAGCGTTTTATTATGAATAGCATGCAGGAGTTTCGGGATTAAAGATGGCTAGTCTTAAAAAAAATCTCGATTAAGAAGAGAAGTTTCTGTTAAGAATTTCCCGAAATAGCTCCTCGACCAAAATTGATCTCCAAGTAAAAAAGTGAGTAATTCATCCGTGGCCTTCCCGCCCTTGAACAACACAAAGTGTCTTGATTTCACATTTTGGTTTCGTAAAAGACATTTAGGCCAAGAAGCGTACCAGATTTGAAACACACATGCAGAGCTAGTGCTTTACTCGTCAAGTTTTCTAATTTAAACACGCCCTAGTTTCCTTTACGGTCGTCCATGATTTTCTGTAAGTCTCTAGGGTCAAGTCCTGTCTCTTTCGCGTTGTTTAGTTTGAACTACATGGTTCTGCTCTCAAAGCACCATGGAGGACATAATGAAAGCCCTTTATGGCAACTGCAGGAATGACTTGCGTTAATGCACAGGTTAAATTTCTTCTGCAAGCAATAGCACGTGCATTGTTCTAGCTTTGATTTATCGTTGCTTATTCTATTTTCTGTTAATGGGGTTGTCTCATACGCCTGCTGGATTGTAATAAGGTGGCGTGAAAAGATGACCATGTATGCATCTTTGGATAACTTATGTTTTTTTAAAAAATCTTGCTTTTTCAACACCAGGCACATGTGTAAAGGAGGGTATCAAACTATCCGATGCAAAAGGAAACTTCACAAACCCCGGAGGATATCAAGGGTATCCGAACGACACAAAATGCATGTAGGTTAATTGATGCACCTTTATTTTCTATAATCTATGAATATGTTCTTTATTCATGTATATATTCACTTTGCTCAACTTCCTCCACTGCCCATCGTACGTTGCACCATCAAAGGCCAGACTTTTGCTTGCAACTTGCTCATTTTTGCGGATTGCTCCCAATTTTTAGAAAAGAGAGAAGATGTAAAAAGGAGAAAAATTTACCCTTGCATTAGGACGGGCGTCCATAGTTTAAACTGTAACTATGAATATCAATGGAAAAAGATTTACATAGGTTCACTCTTATTAAAATGCTTTATTCTTGGTCCATTTTTCATCATTATCCTTATCACTACCATCGACACTATCCTTATCTTTATAGCTATCGTCGTCATCATCCTTAATTTAATTATTATTATCATTATTGTTTTTAATACCATTATCATCATTTCCATTTTAATTTATGGAAAGAAATTCATCATAAAGGTTTCGTTTCGTTGTGCTTTTTGTTTCAGTTGGATCATAGAACCAGGTTATATCTCGAAAATTACAGTCACATTCCATGACTTTGACTTGGAGTTTAGTAAGACATGTAAACCCTATGATTCCGTCAGAGTATTAGACAAATGCAATAAATCAAAAACTTGGGAAATGATCGAAGAAAACGTAGAAGGATACTGTGGAAACGGGACGTTTGGCATCACATCTCGATGCGAAAGAATGAAAATAGAGTTCAAGTCTGATGATTCAGTAACAAGGAGGGGATTCAACGCTACCTATGTGGTTCAACGACAGCCTCGTAAGTCTAAACAGTCAGCCCTTAAACCCATTCTACGAACTTAGCAATGCACAAAACCACAGACCTTGATTCTGAATTACTCACGAACGAAATATCCATTGATATTTCCTTCTTCTTTCATTTGTTTCCTCTCTGTTTTCCCTGTTTTTTTTTCCTCGTCTTCCTTGCCAAAATTGCTCCTCCCTCTCTCTCCCTCTCTCCCTTCGTCCGTCTCTCATCTTTTCTCCCTTCGTTACTCTGCTCCTCCCTTCCATTAATAATAATAATAATAATAATAATAATAATAATGATAATAAATAATCATCATCATTTATTCAAAGCATATCCTATTAAAAAGATGTGGCTCTTCATCTGTGAAAGCCCTACAAAGGTCTTACAAGGAAGACAAAGCACGCGCTTTCAAAAATGTTTTCCCTGAAGTCCGAGCATTTTCTATTCCTCCATCCTCTACACCTTTATTCCTCCGTTCACCTTCTTAGAGCAAAGAAACTACTTCGTGAGAATAGATTCCACGCTATTTCGAGGACTTAGCACCGTTTTACTTGCTGAAGTATAAATGTATATACTACACTATTATGAACTCTAAACAATCATGGAAAATCACATGGCTGTAGGATTTTTACAAGATTCCATTGGAAATAACGGCGTTGTGTTATACTTATTAGTTGTTTTGTTATTTTAAATCACAGAGGCACCGGAAATAACATCGTTCTGTATTGAGGGAAAGAAAAACTGCTCAACAAAGATGGAGGCTGAAGAGTTTAGTACCCTGTTATTAACTTGTAAAGCTTCTGCATCTCCTCAGCCAGTATTCAATTGGACGTACCTTGGTACAAACGAATCGAATCCCGAAGGATTTCTAAATAGAACCGAGAACCGCATCATAGATTTTCGTAACGGAACTCTTAAGATCAAAGATTTGAATAGAGGTGACACTGGCTTCTATGAATGCCACGCCGATAACAATGTCGGTCAACCTGACAGTGCAGTAATGTATCTTCGCGTAAAAGGTGAGACAAAAACGCTGATTCTTTACCAAAAAGATAAGTCTTCTTATTCAACAAATTTCTTTCACTTCGAGAGAACGACAGCTATCACCAAATCAACCCTTTAACTCGCTCAACCCTTTAAAACCCATCAGTAATCAAGACATCATTTCTCCTTACAACACCGGTACAATATCAAGCAGAAAAGTGGTGAGAATAGAGAAAGATATTCATTTGGGGAATTACCAGTCGATTCAATACCGAACTCTCCGAATTAGCATGATTAGATTGTATGGCAGAAGGTAGGGAGAATCAGTACCACCAGTCTCCTTTAGCTCGACTAAACTGCATCTACCACACTGAAACAAAACAAAACAAAAAAATATAACAGAGCACATCTTTCCAAAATTCAACTATGTTGAAAAGTCTCGCCTATCATTGAACATTCCATACTGAAACATTTAAAATTTTACCCTTTTAAGACTAAAAATTGTGCAGTATGCATAGCGCCAGGATAAGAGCACTCGACTTCCTTCCTTATGCCGCCTGTGCCTTAGCCCTTTTTACTTTGCAGGTTAAAGGAGGCAATTTTTTTCAAAACACTCTTACCTTTGGGCGATCTCCGGTAATTATAGTGCACCAGTGTGCATAGACATAATCCTATAGAGTGATAAACCTAACCCTAGATTGGACCCAGTTTTCCAGTTAAGTGATTCTTCCAAATACGTCGAACACTCTCTTTAAGGAAACCCGTCACCCAGAGATTTCCATAACTAAGGTTATTATTCATCTAAACGGGACTTTAGTGGATTGTTCCTCCCAGAATATTGATGTAACCTCTACAGATACTGTGGGAACTCTATGATATGATGTTTACACTAACTTTGCTATATCTAGAGTTTCAACCTAATTTAAACATTGGTGTTAATGAACGCTTTCTTATTCTCAATTTCGCAAAATTCAATTGGAATGTTTTTCGCCCTCTGGATTTTTCCTGACTTTGTTTTTTTCTTTGTCTATTTCTTTGTCTATTTCTTTGTCTGTTTGTTTATCTTCACAGAGAAATGCAAATGCCCCAAGCGTATCATCGCTAATTGGTACGACATCCCACCCTACATACAAGACAATGGACCTGGTCGAGAACCTTCCGGACTATTTCCGCTTCTTCTTAAAGAAATTGTACCGCTTTGCTGTGGGAACTGTTCCGAGGGTGATGGACCATCGGAGATCATTTACCACGAAAAACGTCAACCAAACCTCGTGCGAATAAAATCACTCGATAACCTTGACAAGGAAGACACAATAACGTTTCCTATCAGCGGGAAGAAGAATGAAAGAAATTATCAGAATGATTTTAGGTTCATGCCATTGATTAGTTCACCTGGAGTGGCTTTCATTGTTGTTGGTGAACCGCCTGGTTCTTCTGCTAACGCCGTATTCAACTCTGTACTGTCTGGGTGGCCTGTGCTCCTTCTCACTATGTTAATGGCCTTACTGTCTGGCATAATCATGTGGGGACTGGTGAGTAAAATTTGTTCCAATCATTTTATTATTCTCGGAAGCCATATTTATTGCCGAATCCCGGTTTAAATATTTACGAAAGAGTCTTTAGAGTTGTTACTCGTTAGAGTATAATTACAAGCTCTCATATAGTCTAAAATATGCATAAGCTAATTTCTCTCTCGCCAAGGTGTAATAATAATGATAATAAGTCTTTGATTTTAAGATAAACTGCTTACAGCAAAAGTGTAAGTTAACATTGATTGAAACGTGAAAAGCGATTGAAACTATACTAAATAACCCTTATTAGACCTAATTTCATCTATTTCAAGATGACAGAAACTGGAAAAGACATATATTTATGTCTACACGTTAAAAGCCTCCAGTTATAATCCTTGGAAGAATGTTTGACGGAAACTGGAGTTTAGTAGTGTCGGTTCTTCCCGCATCTTTCCTTAATTAGTTCATAGTAATCATCTTCGTCGCTCAGATGTTCTCATCTTTTCAAAGGACACATGGTATAATCCCGATGAATTTCCGAGGTCATTTATCAAAGGAAGTGGAGAAGGCTTTTGGTGGGCTTTTGTGACCATGACAACCGTAGGGTTAGTGTAGTCGTAGATTATAGAAAATGTTCCACGTGTATGACCGAATCCTCGTACTCAGTTTCTGTATTCTGTATCTCCTATCCGAGCTTCATGTTGGGGGCTGTTTTTTGACATTGACTTCTGCATGTTTGATATGAAAACTATGTTCCCTCGGTTTGGAGTTATAATTTTATGAGTTATTAAGAAGCTTGAGAAAACAACTTTGTAGTCAGAATGATTTTAGGGCTTCCAAAATACGATCTATGTCTATGCAGTTTGAGGATCGCTTCAATGGCTGGTGCTATTGTGATGTGTAAATGTCTTAATGATCTGGCACCTGGCTATTTGTTGAACAAACTTTGCACTCGATCCACTATTTCATCAAGTAGAACTGCTGCCGGTGAGCGTGCCTTTAATTATCGTTGTGTAATAAACATGAAACAACCTGAAAAAGGACTTGAAACAAAAAGTAGGCACCAAACAGACCCTTCCTTACATTCAGGGTGTTATGAAGGCACTAAACAGGAGTGTCGAAACGTTGGGTCAATGAATTGTAACTTCTCGGTTACACTCATTAAATCTTTAAACCAGAGTAGCATCAAATCATGTCAGACGCCAAAAGTTTTAAGAAACGTCGAATAGATAAATTAGTGAGTAATAGAATCTCAACTGATTTCCGTTCTCTCGTTTTCTTTCAGTTATGGTGATCGATCCCCTCGGGGTTTTGCGGCTCGCATCTTCGCAATAATCTGGGTTTTAGTTGGCCTCGTTATCACGTCCATTTTCACTGGTGTTGTGACTACCTCTCTGACAGCCATCACACTGAGTACTGACGTCAAACTCTATGGAACTAAGGTGGGTTTATTCTGCCCTCAATTAAAACTGTTCCCCTTTAAAAGATGTCACCTAAAGCAGTTTCCTCATAGACGAAAAAAATAGTCGATCATGAACTTGACATTCAGAATCTTATCGAATGTTTCAGGCCATATTAGAACCTAGTTTATGTAACGTTTCTCTCTCTAATAGTTCAGCGGTAGGTCAACTGACTGAAAAAGCTTGTACAATTAACCGGGTAACTTCACGTTTTACCTCTTTCATTTCATTACCAATTATTTTTTGTACCGGTGGTGGAAATTTCTTATGCCGTGTTTTATACTCACCATGGACGTTTTAAAAACAATATATTATTTGAATTATTTTTATGGTCATTTCAGATCGCAGCAGTGGTTAATTCAACCGAGTACCGGCTTGGACTGAACAAAAATGCTAGAATGCAAAGTATGTGTTTAGTTATATAGAGAATAATAGATGGGCGTGCGTAGATATGGAATTTCTCTTCAAGTGTGTAACTCGATAGCTCACGAGTGAGCGCAGCGAACGAGTGAGGTGTCGAGTTGAACACGAGAAGAGAAATTCCATATCTGCAAGCAACCATGTATTATTTTATTAATCATATAAACACAATAGCCCTTTACTGACAAGAAAAGCCGACTTCATTAATGAATGAATCCCCGAATAACAATCGTAGAGTGCGTTGGCTCTTAAGATGGAAAAATATGTTGTATCATGATTACAAAATCAACAATAGTCGTAATTTTCAATTTACAAAATTCTCATTTATTGAATTTCTCCTTACCGACAGGAGAAGTCTTTCAGGTAAACGGCGAAAATCGGCCAGTGGCAAATCCTCCAGTTGTCGATTTTAATTCTAAACCGAGAGAAATGCTAACCCAAAGCCACTGAATACGTAACAATCAGTTTTTCTTCTTGTATATTGGTTTTCTTCCCTTTTTAGGAAAGTTTGAACCTCACTGTCTGTCAGTGATACGGATTTTTTAGTGTTTTAGCCGCCATAATTTGAGAAAGCTCCAAAAAACAACTTGTATTGAGAATCGTGAAGGCTTTGCCGTTCATTGATCAACCTGACCGAGTGGCGCCAAAGGCGAGTGACGTGTCAGCAGCTGATTGGCTATATCAACACACGTGAAAAAATACGATATTTTTATTCACGTGTGTTGTTACGGCTTTTCTCAGAGCCGGAAATCCCTGTATAATACCGCAGTTTATGTGATAAATCATATTCTGCTATAGATTAAACTACTGGAACAAGAGTGCTTCTTGTGAATCATGGGCTAGTCGGCATGTACATTTCAGTCTGTACCAGAGTCAGTCATCCTTATCGTAGGTACAACACTGGAGGCGATTTTCTATTCATTATATTCACTTGAGGACCCAGCAAAAGTATGTTCATCTTGATGACAGAGCGAAGTCGACTTCTAAAACGCGGGCTGACAAATTAAAAACTTTGTTGTGATAGAGCGACCTTGTTCGAAATTCTGAAACTTTTCTTGAGGTTTGTGAAGTGACTAACATAACTTCTCCTTACAATATCAATACAATGTCAATACAATATCAATACAATATCAATACAATGTCAATACAATATCCAGCGGACAAGCGATGAGAATAGAGATTTATATCAACTAGACGATTATTTGTCGGTCCAGTACCAAATTCTCTAAACCAACATTATGAAAATTATAAAGCAGATATTAAGGAGAATTACTGATAAAATCATGTGCGTGAAAGGGTTAAAGTTTTTGTCTCCTGTATCTATACATTCTTCAATATCCAGAAGGGCATTTTGTAAAAAAGTTCTTCGGTATATAAACGATTTTTTATCAAAAAAATTGGAGTGTAACAAAACAAAGACCAGTCCACTCTCGTTTCTTACAGTTTTCTATATCAGTGTGAAACAGTTCGGTGGCGCTAAATGTCGACTGCGCTCCAATTTCAATATTTTATTGGATTCATCTGACAGTGATGATTTTTCTCATGCAGTGAGCAATATTTGAAAACTCAATTTGAATTATGCCTTTAACTGAGTATCTACGTTATGCAATTATGTTCTCACAGGTTTCGATACATTGCAGTCAATTGTGGAACCTCTGAAGAATCGAAAGGATGACTTAAAGGGCGTGTTAGTTGATACGTACGTCGCTGGAGAAATGAAGGAATTTTCCAGTGAAGAGCTCCGGGTGAATAAGATTATTGACCACAACTCATACTATGGTGTGGTATTTGGAGAGGGACTGCTATCTGCAAAGAATTTCCAAGTCTGCATCGAGGATTATTTTCTTTCCAGACAAGCTGATATCTTTCAGATAGTGAAGGACAATACGAACCCTATGAAGGTGAGGTCTCAGTAGTTTAAGTCAATCTTTCTAAATGTAATCACCATTTTTCAATTATAGGTATAGTGTAGTTTATTTACTTCAACTTATTCTATAATTTATCAAATGGCCACCCTCCCTTCTGCTGAATTTTGACCACATTCATGCAATGAATCCGGTCTAATTGACTGTAGTTGGAAACTGTGAAAACAGATTTTAGCTGAGTATGAGATCTCGCATTCTTTCTTTAAATTAATTTGCATGATAGCACAGTCATTGCATATTTTAATTTGGAGCGAGCCTCTCGTGAAAGTGACTAAATAATTAAAATATTGGCCTTCATAAACTTGCCTTTCCTTCTCATAGGAACCAAAAGAAAGCGCGGCAGTGGAGCGCTCGTCTGGTTTGTTTGATGCCGAGTCTCCCCTATTTCGAAACGCCATCTACTCGTGCATTGGTTTGCTGCTGTTTTTCACGTCTTGTGGCATTATTTGGGATTACGGTTACATGAGACATTGGAAGAAAAAGGCTGAGATGGGTGAGTCTAGCTAATGTTTTTACAGATTATGTAAATAATTTGTAGAGATATTATGCAATATGATGCAACTTTCATTTGTGTCGAAGGTTATACCCCTTCCAGCCACCTCAGAGGATGTTCTTCCATAATAGATTCCAAAATATTGCACCCTTCTCGAGATGAGTTGGTATTGGAACTGTTTTTCATATATTTAAGATCATAAAAACTGTTTATATTGTCTTGATAAATGATGATGCAATCATTTTAGACTTTTCTTTTCACCAGTTTTCCAGCTCTTTAATGAATGAAAAACCAGATAATATTTTTTGAATGGGTTTTTTTACGTGTGTTCATCCCGTATCTCAGTTGTGTTTATTGCGTACTGTAACGAATGAATAAAACGCGGCAATTATGTAGTCTCCATTTATCTTCTTTGATGATAACAACCATTTTGCATTGTCGTTTATAGATGAACTTGAGCTTCTTGGAGGACCTGGGTACGAAATGGCCAAGAGGAACCTAGACATGATGGATTCACTGATGCAGGAAGTTCAAGAATTTTATGACAACTGGACGAAGAGACTAGACGAAATCACAGAGAAACACGACGAGGAGCAGAGGTTACAGAGTAAACTGAAGAAATGAAAATAAATTGCACTTTCGAGAAGTTGATAAAATCTTTAGCACAAATGGTTAGTAAGTGAAGTCCTAGTAAGAGAATACATGTAGCATACCATTAACTAGTCCTAGTATGTCATTTCATCGATGGATATATCGCATGTGGCACAGTATGTGAGTGTGTTTAGTCTAACCTGCATTCAATGACTGCCTTCACGTCTCTACAACGAAAATTTAATTTTGCACCATTGTTGTTCTTGAAAGACGTGATAGTTGTAAACCTGTTTCATTAAGCGTGAAAGCTTGCTAGTGAGCAGGGACGAGTCCACTTAGGCGCCCTAAGGGAGGTTGCAATTAAAGAGAGGTGGCTTTAGGTAAATGTAGATTTAAGTGAATTTTGAAGTGTGCAAGATCCATCGAGAGCAATTGCAAAGAAAAACTCTTTGATTGGTTTGTAGCATCCACCTAAATTGGTAACTGGTCATTGACTGCTCAATGAGAGAGTGATCCAAAGTAACCGCGATCGTTTGATTGATAAATGACCGGTTTCCGCTCGGTGGGTAATCATTGACTGTTCGGAGATCTTTCATTGACCATAGCAAGCCAAAGTACTTGT